ATCAAAGTTATCACGTGCATTGTTCATATGCGCGCGAATGGATGTTGGCAATGACATATTCGAGGTAGACAGGTCAAGTTGAATTAATCCTGCACAGCTGGTCCACGCCATACGCAGAGTTTTGCGCGTCTGTGGTGAGGCTAACCTGACTATTCTATGAAATATTTTGAGTTGCGCCCTCCCATTCCTGGTTCCTGCGTACGCCATTGCAACATACATGTGTACGCCGTGTATTTTTGCATGTGGCATTTCGTCTCGCGGCGATTGGCATGCGGTGAACGTACTGCGCTCCCAAAACAGCTGGTCATTCGTCACTTCACACGCAGTGCCCCAGGTGACACTCAATGCTTGGGTGTTGCCGACTGGGGGGGGGGGGGGGGCGGTGGGACGAGCCCTGTGCTGCTGTTGTTTCAGTGCTAGACCCCCAACTATGTGGGCCGGGGACCAGGTGGCCCCCAAAAATGCGCAAAGTTACATGGAGGATGTAAGGGGAAGGATAAATTGAGGACGCACAATGGATACGCGATGGATAACATGGGTGCAGGATGTACGACCTGTCTTTAAAACAGACTTCTGGTGTTCAATGTAGTTATTGCAACCTGCATGCGATTCCTAGACATGGAGTGTAAATTCACAGGTTTTTTTAAAGTATATCCTTGGCTGTCAAACTGAATGTTGACAGGCATGCGTTTAAATTTCCGGAAGTTGTGGAGATGGCGAAACAAGTGAAATCACAGCCAATGCCGAAGGCAAATATGTTATCCGTTGCATGCCCTTCTCACCTAATCTCCCTCCATTTAGAAAACTGCACAGTTGCATGAGCGCGAAAACCAGCTGAATGAAGCACGGTGATAAACGCGGCTTGTTCTGCGAACGGAAACGAAAGAGCCTTTGGCGTGTGGCTAATGCGCTCGTTACCCCGCTCATCTATCTGGGTGTTAATTAGACGAGTGCCCGTTATAACTTCGAAGCCCAGCCCCCAACTGAATAATTTCGGGCAAAGTTGACGTGTCACGGACCGACTCAAACTCGTCTCTCCAAATGAGATTACAATAGCCGATAGACGAGTGCAGTTCTGGGAAGAGATCGCGGGCGCGGCAAGTCCCCTTTTGATGATCTTCCGCCCTCACATGATAATGTGTACGTCAGTGATGTGTATTAAGAATGTGTTGGGATCTCTACATTTGGACGCATGGAGATTGACTTGGAGCCCTGCCTTTCTGTCTACTTTTAGGCGCAAGTCAGAGTTACCTGAATGCATGCTGTGCCATACTGTATATGTAGGGCCGCGCCGTACTAGATTCGCATGTCTGGCTACAGTCAGCTGACTGGCATGCCTGCCCATTCCATTATATATAATATATATATATATATATATATATATATATATATATATATATTGTTCCGTTCGCCAGTGGTACAGATTTGCAGGTTTGGGGGTGGGGCAACAGTTGCAGATGTTCAGATTGAGTTTTTCGCAATGCAGCAGTAGAATCGCCCTCAGACGTGCAAACTACCGCTTCGGTCACCCGACCATTTTGGGAAATAAAACCTCGCCCTCGGTCTCAGGAAAATGAAACTGGAACGGTTCAATCGGTCCGAAGTTGGGACTTTAATCTCTCAGCTATAATTTGATGTGACATTTATTGCAAGTTTCAGTCTGAATATACCCGTGACTGATATTCGCGAAAAGGGCACAGGCCGAGATGTTTAATTCAGACATCTTCTTCGCACATAAAATTGACACGACTCTCACCGGTCTCTTCCGAAGCTCAGACCCAGATCTCCTCGGTATGTGCAAAGAAATCTCTTGGGCGAGGCAAGGTGACCTTTGTAAAAAGGCCTCCGCAGAATGGAATATGTTGCTTCATACTAAATATTCCCCAATATTTTGCTGTGAACATGAAGCTTGGAAACAGTGGGAACAGAATGGTGAAGCATGATATGACGCTCAAACAGGGACGTAGTCAAAGGGGCACATGGCGCAACACCCGCTGCTTCCGAGTTAGGAATTTGCACTAGATACTGAGTGATTTCGCAGAGATTCGCATCGCGGGAGTTCGGAAAAAAAACTACCAAATTTTTCCCCTCTTTGCCTCCATTCCAGCCTCGGGGAAAGTTCTGACTACGTACCTGTGCAGGATGAGCAAATAGTGGGGAGTTATCCCCCGTCCTGAAGCCCACCGTAGGGGTTCGTCAGGACACATTCCCCTTTCCCCGCCGCTCGTCTGATGCTTCGTCAAGGGAGTTGGTAGAAATTCGCAGGAAGTTCTGAAGTTAAAAGTGTTAAATTCGCACGAGCTCCAAATTCGCAGGACTTTGGAAAAAAACTGTCCCTTGCCCCCTCCCTTCCTCGAAGAAAGTTCTAAGTTTGCAACTGCTCATAATGACTGCAGTCGCAGCGACGTGGACGACAAAGATTTTGCGTGACGTCCCGTGGAATCTTTGCTGGACGCGCAGAATATTTCCCCGCAACTCGATCGGAGTGAGACAGAAATGGCACAACAGCCTGAAACATAACGCATGCCACGACCTATCCCGAGTGATAGTGAGGTGTGTTATGCGTTACAAACAACATGATTTAATAGTTTTCATTGTTAAGAGCACTCATAGTACCTGCCAACGGAAATATCATTTCGTTGCATGTGCAATTATTGTGAATACAATTAGGAAGGTGTAACAGAAACAGGAAACGTGCCGCTCTGCGAGCACGACCAGCAAAGATTCTGCGTGACGTCACGTAGAATAGAACATTCCTAGTGCGCTGCGGGTACACCCCAAATAATGAAGGATTACCCCTCCCCTGAAACGCACCGCACCGGTCTGGCAAGACACTCATCCTTTCATCCGTTGCTTGTCGAATGATTTGTCAAAGGGTTTAAGCCAGATTTGTGTGCATTCAACCATGATCTGGGACACGGGCGACTGCGAATTTATTGCGGCGGCGCTGTGCAGCGGAGCGCCCTCACCGCGTTCCCCACGATGTAATAACGCTTCCGCAAATCGACATCAGCCGCTCCTGCCGGCTCCAAGAGATCAACTTTAATGCCACCATGTGCGAATCGATACTACGGGATTTGCTGCCGGCTCTTCGAGGTGATCGCTTCTCACCAGCATTGATCGTGAATTCAGTGCCGTGGCACACATTTATCGGTCCACCATCCCGAGCCACCCACCCTCCATCAAATAGCAAAGCTGCCACTACGGACGTTGTCGAGAGGTACAAGGTGGTAGCATACATCAGCAGGATAAGACGGACGACTGGTGTGATACGCATGGTTACGCATTTCATTCCCTGCGGTGGCATGGCGATTTATTTATTCATTCCACATGATCGGGTCAATCCACAGTAGTCTGGGTATTTTCAGACCGTCGTCAACTTACATGGTCGCAGTACAGGTTGTATGTCAATAAAACATTGTGTCACCCTCGCACCAATTCCACACACACACTACACACAACGCACGTCTGCTGAGTAGATAGTCGCAGTTGCTGGATGATTGACTGCAGTTGCTTCTTGACGTGGTCGAAGCCGCTGTTGGTCTGCGGTGCTGAGGTAGACGGCGGGCGGCGTGCAGCTCCGATGATAGTAGATCGCTGAGTGTTCAGCTTGATGCTCAGCCATAGGGCCTCTGCGCGTGACGCCGAGTTGTCGGGGAGGGCTGCATTACCCCTGGCGACCTGCAGAGACTGTCTCGTGAAGACGGCCACACCCCGCCGGGTCTCTGGCGGCCGCTGAGCCTGTCTGACAGGAACATGTTGTGCCCTGGTGGGGTGACGAGACGGTCCGAGTGCCAGCCCTCAGGCTTGTCTCCGTGAAGCACAGGATCTCTCCCAGGAACCTGTTGTGCCCTGGTAGGGTGAAGAGACGGTCCGAGTGCCAGCCCCAGGCCTGTCTCCGTGAAGCACAGGATCTTAGCATCTCCGCGCTGTGGCTCCGCTCGAATATCTGGCAGTTTATGCAGAAGGGCTCAGTCCGTATTGGGTGACCAGAGGCTCTGCTTCGGTACCATAGGCGAACCGTGCCGGCCTAACCAAACGAGGCCTAACACCCGACCGACACCGGCGTCACTGCTGCTCAAACGGCCTCCGTCAGCCGATCGCAATCCCAGAGCACGGGATGTGGGGCGAGCCTGATCTGTCAGATGCTCCAGCCTCGCGCTTCGGCATGGGGCTGGTCGGCCCCAGCTGGGGTGAAGCGTTCTGAGCGCCGGCATCAGCTGAAAAAGGCGGACTCCGGCCTCGACGGGCCTGCCAATTCGATTTACAGGCATAGCTGTTCGGCGAGCGGAACAGAGCGTGCGCTGCTGAAAGCTGAAGGGAAAGCCGTACATTTCCGGAGGTAAGCCTCGAAGCCTCACCCCACGCTTCCGACGCGGGATGGAATGCGGCCCAGTCTCGGACTGTTGGCACGCGGTCCAGCCGTGCGCCTGTCCCACACGTTGTGTTTTAGGAGTGTCTGTGTTTCCGGCCGCTTTCTGAGAAGTGTGCCGGCGGAAAAGTACGCGAGATTACTCGAGAATATTGAGCAGTGGTGTGGCCCGGAAGCGTGGGAGCGAGTGTAAGGTGAGTGAAGAGACAAGATGAAGCGGAGAGAGAAAGAAGAGAGAGAGAGAGAGAGAGAGAGAGAGAGAGAGAGAGAGAGAGAGAGAGAGAGAGAGAGAGAGAGAGAGAGAGGAGAGAGTGTGTGTATATATAAACTCGCATTCCCAAATGTTTAACGTATTTCACAAGACCGTCCTCCATTTGGACGGAAAGCCGTCACCTTAAATCGCACCAACCATGCCAGCTGAATCCCCGAGCACCAATTTCCCGACTGATCCTCGCGCTAAATTCATCGTTAGCTGGTGGGCATTCTGGCCGCGCACGCTATACACTTCCCAGGCCCATGGGCTCTTTTGTGCCGGGAATTGGTCGGCGCGCGGCTTGCGGCCCGCCCGCTAACGACGTTTTCAATTTGGAGCCCGGTTGCCGAGCGCCGCGTCCGTGTGTGGCGCAGCCTGGCCCCAGCAGGCGGGAGCCGCCAGCGGGCAGGTGGGACACGCCGGCCGGCGAGCAGCCTGGTCCCAGCAGGCAGGAGCCGCCAGCGGGCAGGCGGGACACGCCGGCCGGCGAGCAGCCTGGCCCCAGCAGGCAGGGGCCGCCAGCGGGCAGGCGGGACACGCCGGCCGGCGAGCAGCCTGGTCCCAGCAGGCGGGAGCCGCCAGTGAGCAGGCGGGACACGCCGGCCGGCGAGCAGCCTGGTCCCAGCAGGCGGGAGCCGCCAGTGAGCAGGCGGGACACGCCGGCCGGCGAGCAGCCTGACCCCAGCAGGCAGGAGCCGCCAGCGGGCAGGCGAGACGCGCCGGCCGGCGAGCAGCCTGGCCCCAGCAGACGGGAACCGCCAGCGGGCAGGCGGGACACGCCGGCCGGCGCGCGGCTGGCAGTGATGCCCGATGCCGCTGCCCTGCGGCTGGTCGGATGGATGACGGGCCGGACCGCGAGCCGGGCCCCCGGGATTCTGTCGGGAGTGCGGCCGGCGGCGGGCGGGCCCGGCTCACAGCTGCGGCAGCGCTCGCGAGTGACAGGCGCGGCAGGCGAAGCCGGCGCACAGTCGCGGAGGAAGGCGGCAGTCGTAGGCGCTGCCGGCGAAGTCGGCGCGCAGTCGCGGGGGAAGGCGGCAGTCGCAGGGTCGGCCGGCGAAGTCGGCGCACAGTCGCGGAGGAAGGCGGCAGTCGCAGGCTCAGCCGGCGAAGTCGACGCACAGTCGCGGAGGAAGGCGGCAGTCGCAGGCTTCTCGAACAGTCAGGCGAGGAGGACTTGAAAGGCCCAGGTCCAGGGCACAGGTGCGGCATGAGGACTTGGGCGCCCGTCACCCGACACACAGCTCGGGAGGACCGAGGAGGACTCGGGCGCCCGTCACTCGACACACAGCTCGGGAGGATCGAGGAGGACTCGGGCACCCGTCACTCGACACACAGCTCGGGAGGACCGAGGAGGATTCGGCAGCCACATACCCAACACGGATTTACGGGGAGGTCACACGCTTGCCCCACAGCTGGGTTAGTATTCGCCATTGCAGGACTGCTGAGACAGGGACGCACCCAGGCGAGGATTTGAAGAGAGGTGACAGGTCCCCAGTGGAAACAAGCGAGGAGAAACGGTGCGACGTCTTAGCAGTGAGCATTTTACATGCGGGCACAGGGCCTGTAAGATGTCTGGATGTTCACATATGATATCATACAGCATTGCGCATTGTTGTGTAGATATAAGTCTTCGAACGGCCGGAGGAGCAAAATATATTTGACAGAGCGCCAGGGAAGCGGCCAGGATTTTCTAAAGGGAAAGGGGACGGAGCTCGGTGCGCACGCAGTCACGCCGATTTTCAATTTCGTGTTGTCAGCCATCTATGGGGGAAAACAATCTGGGACCAAAAGCGGGGCACTCCCTCCCGCTTAGCTGCGCCGCTACAGACGCCCACAGCATGGTCGTACACTTGGAAGCAGTAGCGCAGGCAGGGGGCACAGAGGGCACGTGCCCTCTGCCCTTAGATTCCGAGGGGACCTTCGGGCCCCTCTGAACCTACGATTAAGGGTCCGATTTGAGGGCCCTATTTGAGAGCCGAAGGGCCCGAAAAGCCAACCAAGGATCGTATTCAGGGGCCGCGGTCCGCAGGGCTGGGCACTCAAATATCAGCCAGAGGGCCCTGCGCGCTGATCAGCGGCCCATCAAGTCCATCAGGGCCTATAGTTCGGTCAGGCGCCACCAATAGCGCACGGTCGGCTTCGAGGCGGCTTGGGCTTAATGGCTCGTTTCCCAAGCAGTGGCAGAGCCGAAGCCAGTGATTTACATTCCTCCGGGCCCACAGCACCTAAGAGAGGCCCTGCGATATCAAGGGGCCCCGAGTCGCCCAGAGGCAGTGTTTGAGGAGGCCCGAAGAGCCTAGAGGGCCCACTCGGGCCGACGATCAAGACCCCGGTTGGAGGATTTATTCAGGGGCCCAGACATGTGAAGAAGGACCCTCAAATAACGGTCAGATGTCTCTTTGCGCCGATCGGGGCCTCCCTGAACTGATGTGGATGTGTCTGGGGACCCACTTCTCAATCAACTATAAAGCCGGGGCCAGTGATTCACACTGGTCGAGAAGCTTGTACCTGTCAGGGACCCATAGCACTTAACAGAAGGCCCTGTGCTCGCAACTGCCCCGAGCCGACTAAGGGAAGTGTTAGATGAGGCCCAAAGAGGGGCCCGGGCGGCCCACCGGAGCCGACTATCAAAGGCTCAGTTGGATGGCATAAGAGCCCGAAGGGCTGGCTGTAGGTCACATAAAGAATCGCTGCACGTAGGGTCGTGACCTAAAATATCGGTCAGAGGTTCTCTTGCACCGTTTTAGGAACACCTGAGACAGTACGGGTATCTAAGTCGGTCAGAGACCACGAACATCGAACAGTCGGCTCCATATCCATCTAAGCCCTTGAGACTCATTTATCAAGCAGGAATAAGACCGGGGTCCGAGATTTGCAATGTTCGGGGTCTCTGACAGAATGAGGAGCTCCTGTGTGGGTTAGGAGTCAAAGTGCCAAACAGGGTTCCTGTGGCAGCAAGTGGTCCCGAGTCGGAGCGGTGTTTGAGGGGCCCCGAAGAGGGATCGAAGGGTCTCTCGAGACCAAAGTTCAAGGGCCCGATGAAATGGCTGAAGGGTCCGAAGGGCTGGCTGGCAGTCACTTAAAAACCCGCTCCTTGGGCCGTGATCTCAACTGTCGATAAGATGATCTCTTGCACGGAGAGGTATTTCTGAGACAGAGCGTTCCTCTATTTCGGCCAGAAATCATGAGCAACGAAGAGTCAGCTCCGTGCTATTCTGAGCTCTGGGGCCCATTTCCCAAGCAGGGGCAAGTCCAGGCCTGTGATTTACGCTGGTCGGGGCTGCTGTATCGCTCAGGGACCACAGTGCCTAACAGGACATGCCATGTCGACATGGGGCCTCGAACCGGTCAGGAGAAGATGTGTTCAACAGGGATGGGGACGGGAGCCCGAATGGCAGAGGGTCTCTTGCGTTGGGCGCGGTCCTCTGATGATTGAAGGAAACAAGGACTTGTGATGAGTGTTCACACTGAGGTAATAGAAGAGTCCTATTCCAGGGAGGGACCTCACTCCTGAACGATGGGCCCTCCAACCTTTTTCTGTTTCTATCGTCTGGGAAGTCGACGCTGCGTGGCCTAAGGAGACTGCAACACCTGACATCGAGTCTTTTGCTTCTAAGATATGCGAGCGCGCATGCTCAAAACTACTTTACATAATTTGCACCACTAATCAATTCTGGCTGAATGCTGAACATCTTCAGACACACACGGTCTGGCCATATTACTACAAATTGGTGGCCCATTTTGATATTCAATCTACATTCGCGGAATCCTTGCCATTTCTGTAGAGCCCAGAAAATTCCGACAAAGTTTCCTGAGTTCTATCGGATTAAAAAAGCTCCACATTTACTTCATGCAGTCATTTAACACGTGTTTTTGTCACTTCATTTATTATAAACTCAATACAGAATTGATATCACGTTAGCGTCTGGCCTACATTTCATTTATAAAGCGTAGAAATGTGATATATATATATATATATATATATATATATATATATATATATATATATATATATATATACATATATATATATATATATATATATATATATATATATATATATATATTGGGGGTTTGGCTGCTTGCTGCACTGCTCGGCCTGGAAGACGAGACCGTCACGCTCCTATCAAATAAACCGTCCGGCCTTGCGAGCGGAGTCGGATGGCCACTTGACCGGCTGTAGCTCCTCCAGCAGGGCATCGACGCATGACTGAGGGCGGGTGAGTAATCCCCCGTGGAGAATCACAACGTGGATAATCCCCCGTGGGTAATCCCCATGGGTAATCCCCCGAGACCCCTTACTCAGTCAGACCGGCCCGCCGCCTTTCCGTCTGCCTGACTGGAGTCTCCGGTTCCTGGCCTGCGTCGGCAGGCAGAGATCAGGTCAACAGCCCCGAGGACACGGCGCCGTGGGGAACCGAGTCTGGAAGGTCACCCCAGCTCCCGCGGAAAACCGAGCCGGGGAGGTCGCCCCAGCTCAGGCGCGGACGCCGGCAGGGCCCGGCTGTCCCCTGGCGACCGCTACACACATTGCTGCTGGAATGGGGCTCGTTTGGAAGTTTTATGGCGCTCGATGCGTCTCGATCGCTGGCCGGCAGACTGGCGGCGAACGGGTCCCTGTCGCTGATGACGGGCGCCAATGGGCTCCTCCGCCGGCGCCACACTCGGCTCCCGCTCGGATGGCTGCCGTGGGAAATCGTGTCGCTCATGCGACCTCAGCACCCGAAACGGTCGGAACGGAACGGTCGGAGCGGAACGGCTCAACGACCAAGTGTGTCCGGATTTGTTGCCTTTGTAAATGCATTATTGGGGTGGCTTTCCTTCGCGAGCAGAGCGATTGTTGTCGGTCTACTCTACTGTCGTGGTCATGTGGCGTCTGACGTCTGGAATTAGTGCGTGGGCCTGGCTTACTGAGGTCTTGATGAAAGGCATAGGACAGACAGACAACAAGCCATTGTCCCCATGCTGACCACTAAAGCAACTACGTGCAAAATGCATGCTCTCAAACGCAGCCTCGAGCGGGGACCCTCTGTTACGGCATACTTGTATGCCATGACCACCTGTCCCTCCGCTCATATGGAGAAATAGCATGTGTTCAGGCTTGGCAGGAGTGAATCCAAGGGGAACAAATGGGACGACCTCCGCACCCTAACGACAAAACGAATTCTTGGCTGATTAGAAGGGTCCTGGTTGGAGAGATTTTAGAGCCCGTTAGCTGTCCAGGGCCCTACGCTGTTGAGAGGGGCCATATGCGTTGACCTGCCGTACAATCTCGGCCGCTCCCGCGCCTTTCACATTGGTCTCGGATTCTTCCCGTTTGTTCCGAGGGCTCTATACTTCTGTTGGGGTCTCATGTGCCAACCTATAGTGGTGCTCGCGACCACCTGGGGCCCCTTCATTTTGGTCTCGGGTCCTTTCCAGTCGCTCGGAGGGCTCTGTGCTCTATCCTCGGGTCATATATTGTTATCTCATTGTGATTTGAATGGAATATCTTCTGCCTCGCTCTTGTAATGGAGCCTCCTGTCGGCATGATAACACATAAAATTTGGGCGCCGAAAAATGCTTGTTTGTTCTGTTTTGCCCTCATGGCGGGCGGCCCAATAACGCATCAACCTAAAAGCAAAAACATAGCATTGAAAGGGGTCGGAGGTGATCCTGGAGCCTCTCTTCCTACGAAATATAGGTTCCGGCCACGTTTACCATGCCTTTTAAGAAGTTCCACCCATTCCTGGTTGTGATGTCCCTGCCGGTATCAACTCATATTGGGCATTACGCATCGGATGCTCGCTTATTGGTATCGGACAGCATGGCTAGCTAGGCATGAGAAGAGGGTAATGAATATGCCCGTGTTGTTACAGGCTTGCTGCTTCAGATCATTACTTCCGACACGCACGTCCTGGCTTTCGGCGTGAATTGAGTTTTGTGCTTTGAAGGCACAAAAATACCGTGAATATGGCAGTAAAATGGCCGCCATATATTCGTACAATAACGGATGGCCTCAGACATTCACGGTGCACCGGTACCAAAACAAGACCGTATATGGGCATAAAACTGAACACCGCTGCGCTCCCGGAAATTCCGGGAGCGGTCGAATATGAGGGCCAGGGAGCTGGTCAGTAAATTTTCCGTAGCACACCCCGCAACACGCTGCCTTGTGGGCAGGGCTTAGTTGTGTAAATTGCAAACTTTAAAGACAAACATCCCTTAAGTGTCAAACCGGAGCAGTGCGAACAGTTAAATGCCTGAGGACTGTGATACGCGCGCGTGATGGGAAGGTCTCTTGAACTTTAAAGTGATCTGAAATCCGCAACAGCCAAGGTGGGTAGGTGTCTTAATGGTAGAACATGCCGTGCATGTGGGATGGCAACAATGACTGGACAGTTTTGCCAACAATCCACACGTTTACAACCTGGTGATGTGTATTTCATGACTTGCTTTGTCCAGGACCTCTCAGATCAATCTCGCAAGGTTAGGTATGAGAAGCATCATAGATGGAATAATTGTCCAGACTATTGTCTTGGCCAGATTCTCTTGTGCTCATTTCTTTTTTGTCATCATTTCCCTTTCAATTTTCCAATATTTGTCAATATCAGACTTCTGTCACATATTTAGGTAATTATGCCATTCAGTGATTAGAAGAATGTATGGATAACTATGTGGTAAATAGATGTGGGGCATACTAAGTCATGTAGCTCCTTGCAGATGGTTGGTAGGAACATGTCATGCCATGGGTTGAACTATGTCTCTTGAGATTGGGGGGCAAACTTTAATTGTAAGGGCTGAACTGGTACTGGAGGGATAACCTGGTTTGAAAAGGTATTTTGAATAAAAAACATTGAAAACATGCATTGCACTGGCAATACTGGAGCAGACTGGAGAAATACTGTAGTCAGTCATTTGTTAAACTAATTTTGATGTGTGTGGATAATGATGTTCAAATGCTTGTTGGCAGAACTTGTTGCTTATACTTGCACCCACAACCCAGGTTATGCTGGTCGAATTCACCGAATAATTGTGCCATAACCTAAACTTCATCCCTGCATGGTGTTGCCACATGGCCACAAGCTGACCTTTCCATGCCAGTCAGATCAAACAATGCACCCATTCTAAGGCTTGTACATAATGCTTCTGAATCACAAACACACAATTTTTTCCAACATTGTGGAATGTGGATATCACAAATCATTTTTGAAGTTAGAGTAAGAGCAGCTTGTTATTTTCATAACCATTCTTTGGAAAAAAGTCAGGGCATAACACCTTAATGTGATGCAAAATCTTGTTCACAGATGTGCCCTTTAACATGGCATTGTCTCCCATCATGCCTTCATGCATGTGACTGAAACTGTCAGCTTTAATTTTTTAATTCCTCATAGCTCTGTGGATAGATTGGTAATGTTAAGTACCTTGTCTTTGTTTTGATACAATAAACATTGCTCTTTAGGGTTATACAGACACATTAGGGGAATTAGATACAAATCAAAAGCAGAAACCTGATGTTATGCTCAAGGGATTTTAGGACCTGTGACACCATGCAATTCTGTCTGTTTCCTATGTTGTTTAAATATCCCAAAACATTGATTCAAACATGACTTATGTGAAGGTGGATGTCTGTGATATTGCATGTACTGGTATGGTACACTAGGCTAAGGAATGGCTGCCTCTAAAGCTATATCTTACACCCTGATCGGTACAACCACACAAGCTAACCAGGGTTGCCCCCCTCGCACAGCACCACGATGCCTGGCACACTGGCCGCGTCGAGCCTGCAGGAGCTCTGCCTGCGCCGCTTCTGCCTGCACCTCTCCGAAGTGGCCATCAGCGGCCTGAGCGCCGAGCGAGCCCGGCAGGGTGCGGCCGAGGCGCGCTCGCACCTCGTGCAGAACGCGCCGCCCTGCTTCTTCGAGGAGATGGCGCACGCAACCCTGGCGCTGGTCAACAAACACTTCTACAACCCCAAGTAAGGGGCGGTCTGTGCAGTGCAGCGGTCCCGTACCCAGGCCGGGCCAGAGGCTGGTGAACAGCTGGACCCGCTGTCTGCTGCCAGGAAAGGCTCGGAGCTGGCATTGTGGTTTGTTGTATGGCTGGCATTTGATGGCGAGGACGAGGAAAATGTGTATGTGGTGGTCTTTTGTTGCTTATTTGGTTCAGAGCAGAAAACTTGGCGGTGTTGTGTCATGTCAGCAGTATTTTGATCAGATAAGTATCGCCTCATGATCATGTTTTAGTGGAAATTTCTTGGTTTCGTTTCTCGGATGCAGCTACTTAACGGAGGGCGGTCAATGACCGGAACGACCATAGCTGGCTTCTGTCTCCTGCTCGCCGACAAAGGCGAAGGCCCCCGTACTGCCCCAGCCGGCCTAACCCCATGATTACCCAGGATCTCCGCGCCCCTCCGCTATCCCTCGCTCTCCTTCCCGGTCGCCGCGCTCGCGCGTGCTCCCCATCAATCTTCGAAAGCGTCTGTGATATTGAGCGCTGATAACCGTGACCTTGAGCGCCGATAACCATGACCGTGGCGCCGGTAACCGTGACCTTGAGCGCCGATAACCGTGACGTTTAGCGTTGGTAACCGTGACCTTGAGCGCCGGTAACCGTGACGTTTAGCGTTGGTAACCGTGACCCTGAGCGCCGGTAACCGTGACCGTGGCGCCGTCCGGCAGACACAAGCCGCACCGACCGGCGATGGCCGAGGTGGCCGGCTGGCTGCTGGGGGAGCACATACGCCACCTCAGTCTGGACCAGTGCCGCATGCTGTGCGACCGGCTGGCGGTGCCGCTCGTGTTCGAGAGTCTGGCCCGCATGCCCCGGCTCGAGGCGCTCGCCATCGGCCGGCTCAACTTCTGGAAGATTCCCGAGCTGAGCACGCTGGCGGACAGACTGACAGGTGGGCCACAGCTCCTCCCCCAGACAGGCTCACAGGTGGGCCACAGCTCCTCCCCCAGACAGGCTTACAGGTGGGCCACAGCCCCTCCCCCAGACAGGCTTACAGGTGGGCCACAGCCCCTCCCCCGGACAGGCTTACAGGTGGGCCACAGCTCCTCCCCCAGACAGGCTCACAGGTGGGCCACAGCTCCTCCCCCAGACAGGCTTACAGGTGGGCCACAGCCCCTCCCCCGGACAGGCTTACAGGTGGGCCACAGCCCCTCCCCCAGACAGGCTCACAGGTGGGCCACAGCTCCTCCCCCAGACAGGCTTACAGGTGGGCCACAGCTCCTCCCCCAGACAGGCTTACAGGTGGGCCACAGCCCCTCCCCCGGACAGGCTTACAGGTGGGCCACAGCTCCTCCCCCAGACAGGCTCACAGGTGGGCCACAGCTCCTCCCCCAGACAGGCTTACAGGTGGGCCACAGCCCCTCCCCCAGACAGGCTCACAGGTGGGCCACAGCTCCTCCCCCAGACAGGCTTACAGGTGGGCCACAGCCCCTCCCCCGGACAGGCTCACAGGCGGGCCGCAGCCCGCCCCCTGGACGGGCTGACAGGTGGGCCACACCCCCTCCCCCGGACGGGCTCACAGGTGGGCCGCAGCCCCTCCCCCGGACAGGCTCACAGGTGGGCCACACCCCCTCCCCCGGACAGGCTCACAGGTGGGCCGCAGTCCCTCCCCCGGACAGGCTTACAGGTGGGCCATAGCTTCTCCCCCAGACAGGCTATCAGGTGGACCACAGCCCCTCCCCCGGACAGGCTAATAGGCAGGCCACGGCCCCTCCCCGGAAAGGCCGTCAGGTGGGCCGCAGCCCCTCCCCAGACAGGCTGACCCCCTTCCCCCCAGACAGGCTCACAGGTGGGCCACAGCCCCCCCCCCCCCCTGGGTGGGGAAGGTCGTGTCTGGTGGGGAGGGTTGATGCCCAGACGGGCAGGGCCCTTGTCTGGACGGGCAGGGCTGGTGCCGGAGTGGCCGATGGTTAGTGGCAACCTGCTACCGTTGTGCCACCGCTCTAACACTGCTCTGGCACTGACACTGACACTGACATTGACACTGACACCGCGCCGCCAGGCCTACCAAACCTGACCACGCTTCGTCTGGAGTACATCTGCCTGCCGGCCATGCTGCAGGGGCTGGCTGAGAAGTGTCCCCGTCTGCTGGAGCTCAGCCTCAAGGACTCGGAGAAGATCTCTAACGCGGAGGTGCCCGAGATCGTGCGCTGTCTGCAGCTGCACGTGCTCAACATCAGCGGCACCTCCATCACAGGCAAGTGGACGGAGTGTGCGGCGTTACGATGGGAGCACATGATTTTGTAGTGAGGATCTTTGTTGACCAGTCGAGTGGAACATGGGATGCCTTTAATCACTGTGTTTGCTCAGTGTTTCGCCTGGTCTGCATTATGCCTGATGTACATCGAGTGTGCATTCGAAGGCATGGGTTGAAGTTTCCGGGCATATTTTTGCAGCTTTTTGTCACGTTATTTCGGAAGTAAATGCATTCCAAATGAAATTGCTTTAATGGTATTACGATGTGTATTAGCCGCTAGGCAGAGTACGTTTCGTCGCGTGGGTATTTAATCCCCCCCCCCCCCCCCCACGCCTCTCTTGCTCCTTGCTCCAGATCGTGTCATTCCTGTTAGTGAATAATATTGCTCTGCCAGACAGGATCGCGCAGAGGCCATTACAGAAGCACGCTGCTGCGGTATCTGCGTCCTTTGCCAGGCTGCGTCCCTCCATCCGTTTCTCAGCGGGTCGCTTTGCCAGGCTGCGTCCCTCCATCCGTTTCTCAGCGGGTCACTTTGCTAGGCTACGTCCCTCCGTCCCGTTTCCCAGCGGGTCACTTTGCCAAGCTGCGTCCCTCCATCCGTTTCTCAGCGGGTCACTTTGTACACGGTCTGGTGAAAAGTTTGGTATTCTGTGGGTCAGAACCCAGGGTCAACGAACAAGCACTTGGTGCCGTCCCATGGCCACGGGGCCGGTCAGTGCGGACGAGGACGCGCGCGGACGGAGTCTTTGATCAGTGAGGATGTTTTTAGCCTGACCGGCTCAGCCCGGTCGCTATCCTCTGCGGGAACAGACATTGCGTCACAGCCTCAAGCAGACTGCAGCCGCAGGAGCGGCGGGTTTTTGAAAAAGCTGCACTTTATAAGCTCCAAGGCATTTGCATACAGACCGATCCAGCAGGCGTGATTTTCCAGCAGCGTTTAATTTCGGCAAGGTGTTCCACTCACCGTTCAACTAGCATGAGAACTGTTAAAGTTGCAAAGTGAGGTTGGGCTTTACAACCGAGACCACGTGTCCACGTTCTGGCGTCATAGCGGCATTAGGCGGACGCGGTTTACAGAGACTGGAGCGGACAGACGTGTTGGTAGAAGCGTGAGTGCGTTTGTGATGTGTAGGCGCGTCAGTAATTAACCGGCCAGGAGGCAGTCAAGTGGCCTGTTCGGAGGCCGATATTTACTGAATCGCGCCGTCGCGCCTGACGGGAAGAGATTGGGTCGGAGAGCTGCGCAGGTGCGTGCTTCAGTTACGTCAGTTACGTCCGCCCAAAATATTTGCATTTTGGCAGTGCTTTGATGGGAGCGATCGGAAATGTCATATTGATCTATTTCGTCATCTAGAATCGGCGGATTCACAGGCAGCCTATTTCCAAGCGATGACACGCGTGGCTTGGTGCGCGGATGCTGCTCAGTGAACCTCCGCCTTCGGAGCTCCAATGAAAGGCGGGCTTTCAGTGCAATGATCAGGCCCATTGGTAGGGTTCTAAGAGGTGTCTGGTTCACCTGCGCAATGTGTCGGAGACGCCTTCAGTGGCCTGACCTCCACCTTTTCGCAGCGAGGTGCGTGATGCAGAAGCATACAGAAGCCGTGCTGCGCCATCCTAACAAGGCTCGGTAATGAATAGTTGAATACTTGGGCCGTAATATGGACCACCGTAATATGAGCTCTATATCCTGAGCCAACATAATGACAGGCGCAGCGTGGCCGTCCCCCCCCCCCCCTCCCCTTCTCAGTACAGCGCAGTTCTCCTCGCAGCTTGTTGACCTGCAGCAGTGCAGGCGGTGACCGCAGGCGTCGCCTGCCGCAGGCTCCGGCTCCTGGGACATCCTGAACGCGCTGCCTCTGCTCACCTCGTTCGAGCACTGCCCGTTCAACTGCAACTCGGGCCCGTTCCTGTTCGACTCGCGCGAGGCGATGCTGTCCTACATCTGGGACGTGCTCAGTCCGGAGGGGCGCGCCCTCAGCGCTGGCCTGCCCAGCGTCACCGGCCAGATGGCGCTGCCGGCGCGCCGCGCCCGCCAGCCGCCAGGGGCCGGCCCGGCGGCTGAGGCTGCCACAGGCAGGTCGGAGGAGGCGGCCCTGGTGGAGGCTGCGGAGGTGCCCGCCGGGGCTGGAGCGGCCGCTGCGGAGTCTGCGGAGGGGCCCGCAGAGGCGGGCGCAGGGCACCCAGCGGAGACGGTGCCGGCGGAGGCTGCTGATGGGGCGTTAGGAGAGGCCAGTGTGGGAGTCACCGCGCGGGAGGACACCTCGGCTGACGGGCGGGCGGCTGGCGCTGTGGGGCGGTCCGCACCGGGTCCCGGCGGCTCGGATCCGCCGCCGCCGGCGGGCGGAGAAGGCGCCGCGGCCGGCTCGGATGACGTCAGCGGTGACGGGGGCGCCGCCGGAGCCGCGGCGTCAGACCCGGCCGGCGGCGCCGCCGCGCCGCCGCGCGAGCAGTCTGTCGGTACCGACCGGAGCTCGGCCTCTTCGTCATCCCGCCGGGCGTCGCCGTTTCCCCTGTCGCGCAGCAGCTCCGACACACAAACGCCGCGCGTACTGGGCATCGAGAACTTCTGGCTCTTCAACCCGAAGACGGAGGAGGTGGCGCTGGCGCGCCTGTGCCCGGCCGTGCGCCGACTCCGGCTCGACTTTGTCTTCCAGGACATCGGCCAAACACCGGACCTGGGCGGGCTGTCGCAGTTCCAGCACGTGACGCACCTCGAGATCAACAGTTTCGACGCGCCGCGCTTCTCGGTCGTGTCGGAGGTGCTGCGCCACCTGGGTGGTCGGCTGACGGAGCTGGCGCTGCACGTGTGCGACGACTACACGGCCACGGCCGCGCTCGAGAACGCCGTGGCGCGCTGGTGTCCCGGTCTCGAGCGGTACGCCTTCACCGGAGACTACTCGGTGCGCCTGCCGGCCGAGCGCGGCGACGACGAGCTGGACTTCGGCCGGCTGCGGCGGCGGCACCCGCGCCTGCGCGAACTGCGGCTCGGCGGCTTCGTGACCGGCCGCCGCCTGCTCTTCCTGCTGGCGCAGGCGGCCGAGCTGCGCGTGCTGCGTCTCGATGGTGAGCTGCGCCACCTGGACGACGCCGGCTTTCGTGAGCTGCTCGCTGTGAACGCGCTGCCGCGCCTCGAGGAGTTCTGGGTGAACGTTTCATCCGGCCTGACGCTGGAGGCCGTGCTGCCGCTGTTGTTCGACCCGACATGTTGCTTGCGGCGGCTGGGTCGGCTCAGCAGCCTGCAGGGCCTCGATCGGCAGAGGTTCCTCGAGCTGCGCAGCCAGGCGCGCGCGCTCAACCTCGATGTGGACCTGGTGTGGGTCACGCCGGGTGTGTGAGTTGTGTGGCCCGGGGCGCGCGGCTCCAGCTGGGGCGGGGCGAGCGCGCGGCTCCAGCTGGGGCGGGGCGAGCGCGCGGCTCCAGCTGGGGCGGGGCAAGCGCGCGGCTCCAGCTGGGGCGGGGCGAGCGCACGGCTCCAGCTGGGGCGGGGCGATGCGCGCGGCGCAGCTGGGGCGGGGGCGAGAGCGCGCGGCCCCCAGCTGGGGGCCGGGGCGAGCGCGCGGTTCCAGCTGGGGTGGGGCGAGGGCGCGCAGCTCCAGGCTGGGGCGGGGCGCATGACGGCTCGCTCCAAGCTGGAGCGCCGCCGGGCCGCTGAGGACAGAGGCCCAGCGGGCGTCCGCTGGGCGCGTGACCTTCCTCCACCGGCAGGTGTTGATGATGAGGTCGGGACTTTGCTTGCGCCGCGCCTCAGCTGTGTTGGTGCAGACTGTGCCGGGGCTTCTATATTGGCCTCGGAACAGGAGCCGCGGGTGATGTGGGCGGCTGCCGCGGAGGTCATTCGGTAGCACGAGTCCGCTCTTGAAGCTTGTAGCGAGTCAGGGTGCGGGAACGCGATTGGGCGGGACGCAGGCGACCGCCTGGATTGTTGATCACTCAAAGCGGCATCGCTAGTTTGTGCCGTCTTTCAAGTTTGAACATATTTTACCTCACTGACTGTTGCATCTGTTGCATGTTAGTTTTTTTTAGAAACCTTCTCAGCGATCGACCCAAAGCGACCACAAGACGCTAGGCCGTCATGTGGACTCACATTAGGTTAAGCCAGCGTGTGGAGTGAATAACCGCCTGTGATGATTTCGCCCCGCTTAGCGGTTACTGATCGATGGTTGTGACGGCAGACGTGCCTTAGATGTTTTCTGCAGCATATGTCTAGTCCTCTGTCGCGCGCTGAACATGGTTACCGTAACAGTCTTCCGGTATACTTACGAACTACATCAGAGCAACTTTTGACTGAGGATGTCGATGGAATGGTTTTGAGTGTATCGCCCCATCGCTATTTGTTTACCGGCGTTCAGGACTCGAATCGCGGCAGCTGTTTGCCGATGCATCTGTTGTTAATTTAATATATCTCCATCTTGCGCGTTTGTTACATAAATCGGAGGTCATCATTTTGTTGGCTGTAAAATCGTTGTTCTTGTGGAACGAGCATAATTGTTCTTGGTCAAATAAAATCAGCACAGTGCCAATGCATGTGTATTTGGGAGGACGATTGTGCATAGCGAGCTGCATAAAAAACAGTGGAAGAGCCCCATCGCATGTGTCAACAACGCACTTCCTCAGCAATATCTTCAGATACGGTCCAGCGACTTGACGGAACACAAAGGCGGTGAAACCACACCAAACTTACCCTGATAAATCTTGTACAATAACAACGATCCGGCGTACCAACACCAGAAAATAGCTTGACTGAGCCGAGTATTAAGTGTCGCCCAAAGAGCGGTGTGCATCATAAATGTTGGATTGGGCGTGACGCCCGCCGGAGCAGGGTCAAATCGCTAACCCAGACAGGCGGAAGACTGCGCACAGCTACCGTGTCAGACGCTACATCCGCCACCCGGACGGCGAGGGGTCGCCGAGCCGCGCGCCTCTTGTACGCCTGACTTTCGTGCCGTACGCGGACGTGACATGTACGTCATCAGATGGGGGCACACGTGGCCTTCTTCCAGGTGAGTGCCCCAGAAAGAGAGAGACAAGAGCCTGAGGAAAAGGCGGACAGCGCCTGCGCCTGCGCTCTGCCGCGGGTCACCCGGTCACTCCCGCAGCGGGGATCGCAGAACGGATCCGATCCCGCGGTTCCTCGACCACTCCAACAGGTGCCCCTCGCGGCCTCGCTGCGGTATCCGCTCGGTCACTGCGGCAGAGGGTGCCCCACTCCGCCGCCGCCGGCGCCTGCTCCACCGCCGTCGGCGCCTCACTCGGCCGCCTCTAGCAGGCGCGGCCCGTCGCCGACCGTCGTATGGATGACGCTCTGCACGCCGCCGGGGAAGAGCTGCTCCCACACTTCGCCCTCGGGCAGCGGCGGCAGCTGCACCGGCCGGCCGGTTACCCAGTCGGCCAGCACCGGCGGCGGACACACGGCCGCCACCACGGCCAGGAACGGCGCCACCTCCGCCTCCGGCAGGTAAACGCACGCGTTAGGGCCGGCGTCGAACGTGTAGCAGGCGCGCACGCCACCGCGGCGCGCGTTGTACTCGTGCACCGTGTCGACCAGCGCGTGCGACACGTCGTTCATGTAGCGCACCGGCGGGTACGTGTCCTGGCACACGGCGTGCAGCTGGTTACTGTCGCGCATGGTGAGCTCGGCGAAGGCGGCGAAGTCGCGCCGTAGGATGGCGTCCGTGATGGCGGCCAGGCGCGCCGGCACGCTGTGCTCGAGTCGCGCGCGCATGAGATCGGACGTCTGCACCGTGCGCTGCATGCCTGACGTGCTGGCCACCTTCTTGCGGTCATGGCTGACGACCAGGATGAGGCAGCGCAGGTCGGGCCAGTGGGCGGCCGGCGCCACCTGCACAGCTCGCGAGTCGGCGCCACTCGGCTCGGTGCCGGCCACCCAGCGCACGAAGCCGCCCAGTACGCTGCGGCACGCCGAGCCCGAGCCCTGGCGCGCGACGGCGCTGATGTCGCCGCTCACGGCGTACAACTTCGACAGCGCAAACACGAGGCACGCGTAGCCGGCGGCTGACGAGGCCAGTCCGGCCGCGGTCGGGAAGTTGTTCTCAGACACGATCTGCACGCACCCTTTCGGCAGGGACTTGTGCTCGGCTTCCGCGCGCTTGCGGATTTCGGCCAGACAGCTCTGCAAGCGTGGGTTGTCAATCGACTCTTCCTTGCCATTGAGCCAGATTTGGTCTCTGGTGAAGTCTTCGCTCAGCGTGATGGTGGTCTTAGCTCGAAGCTCGTCTGAGTTGAGAGTCACACTTAGTGAGTCGTTGAGGGGGATAATTAGCTTCTCGTCAGCCTTGCCCCAATACTTGATCACCGCAATATTCACTGGGGCCGTGCATGTTACCGACTTCATGCCTTGTCACAATTTGCTTGGGCGGGAGGCCACACACTCGTGGATGATAATGATGGTGAACGACACCAACCGTACCGACTGCTTACCGCACAGTCACAGGGCGCACAAATGCAGCCGCGCTGATCAACCAATGACGATGGCGGCTGCTTCCGGCCAAATCAGATAAGCTAGCAGAGCCGTGTCAGACCTTGAGCCAAAATGGCGCAACAAAAGCACAGTTCAACTGGGGTCACCGCCGTCGCTCGCCAACGACACCCGCCCCTCGTCAGGCACACCCACCCAGCTCAATGGGCTCAACGTGCTAGGAGCCCACTGCCATGTCATCGAGTATTTGTAACAAAAGCGCAGGAAATGACGACAAATTTTTGCCAGCTTCAGCTGCTTGTGTTGTACACGATAAGAATTTGTTATCAATATGTGGCTAATTTCATGTATTATGTGCTGTTCTTAGTCGTAGTTACATTCAAAATATGTTTTTATTTTTCTTTAAATGATATGCTCCCTCCTCCAAAAAGTTCGGTGCCCGAGACACTAGGAAGTTTTGTCTTCGCTAAAACTCTTGGAAATGTTATGCATAAACAACCAAACAGCCTTCCAATATTTGTGCCCCGGATATACTGTTCGGATACGCTGGGTTACGCTGGTGTGAACTAAGGATGTATGCCCATTCCATAGATATTCACGGGTAAATCTGTCTACTGTTCTGTGTTCATTCATGTTAGGTTACTGTGATCAGCATAATATGGGCAAGGATGGAGTTTCGGATCTTCACCGCGTACTGATTTTCCGTATTGGATGTTTCTGGAATCGTACCCCGCGAATAGGTAACGAAGTATGCGCGGCGCACCGATCTTTGTCATCCAGCTGTTGGTACAAAATACTAACATTGGCTGTTCAAAATTTGGAGGAAAACATGCACTGTGGGTATGAGATCAATTTCAGTTGTATGGATCATTGATCACACCTGGTTCAACATCTGGCTTTTGTTATGTGTGGGGCCAGAATCCAGCATCTTCTTGTGTAGGCATCTTATGCAATAGCAGGATGTGTTTCATTAGCATGAGAACAATGCTTAAATGAGCCATCTCAAACCACAATTGTCACATCACCCATTTTCTCTGCCAGTGATGCATTGAGACATTTTCCAGATTGTGTACACTGGCTGGATTTGGTTGCATTTGCTAGTTGCAAAGATTGCAAGGTCAGGGTGTACTTTCCTAACATTAGAAAAAATCATTGTACACCATTTGTTGTGTTTAAGGCATGACATATCGTAAATAATCTCAAAACAGGTAGAATCATGCTCCTACCTTCAAATTTCAATAACTTCGATGGCGGGCCCCGAGCGCCGCGCGCACCGCACCGCCTGGACTCCCCAGCGCCGTTTCCGCGTTGCCGTTGAGTAAATACAATATTTCTGCGTACCAAGAACTGTACAAAATGTACGGGACCAAAGTAAACCATTCGTCATGTTTAAGGCAGTACAACCATAACCTAACTGCGAACCATAAAAATATTTACTAAACATAAACCATATTTACCATAACCATATTTACCATATAAACCATATCAACTGCGAACCATACTATAAACCATAACTATAACTATAAACTATATTTACTGCGAACCATAAAAATGTACCGGACAAGGTAGCAAGAATCCATGAAATTTGATCCTCGACGCCAACGGGACCATATGTTCCGCCTTAAACACGACAATGGTTTACCTTGGTCCCCTACATTTTGTAGAGTTCTTGGTAAGCAGAAATATTGTATTTACGCAACGGCAACGCAGAAACGGCGCTGGGGAGTCCAGGCGGTGCGGTGCGCGCGGCGCTCGGGAGCTCGCCATCGAAGTTATTGAAATTCGAAGGTAGGAGCATGATTCTACCTGTTTTGAGATGATTTACGAAATGTGCCGCCTTGAACACGACGAATGGTGTGCAATGATTTTTTCTAACATTAGGTAGGAAAGTACACCTACACCGATTGCAACTGAGTACTACAGTGTAAGGACCTGGTTCCGCTTGGTAACCAGTTACATGGGCTGGAAACCTGATTTTCTGAACAGCTTGTGTATGTTATGTGTTTCATTTGTGCTACATGTACACTTCTTTGCTGACTAAAATGTTAAGGTCATTAGATGTTCTTTTTTAATTGTTATAGCATTGAAGATTGCTATCTTTAAAAGGGCAAGGACAGAGTGATCCAAATTTACCATGGACAGGTATGCATCATTAGGAAACATGATATCTCATTTCACTTTACTTTATTTATTTTGATAATTAAAACCAATCATGATTTATTTGCCTGTGGTTTATACCTGTTCATCTTGTTTTCCATGATCCATGCATGCCTTCACTTCATGTCTCATTCATTATTACTTGTGAGCATCATAAGTGACTCATGTTCTACAATATTTCTGTTGTGTATCATCAGGAATAAGATGGCCTGAAACTGCACCTGAGCAACACCAAAGGTTATGGCAGCCTGGCAGCAGATCCTAGCCCTGGATGCCAGATACAATGCACTCAGAGTGCCAAGTGATCCCGGATTTAGTAAGTTGACTTCTGCTTGTCCCAAGTGTTTAGGTTGCCAATTTTAAAGTCATTGATTCAATTATTTGTATATGTTATATCTTATATATATATATATATATATATATATATATATTTGGTTATTATATAATTTTTTGTTTTAGCATTTAAGTACAAAGTTAGTATTGATTAATATACTTGTCATTGTCATCCCTATTACCATTGCTTCTTGTCCATAATTTAGTCACAAAGAAAGATCCTTCAGCCCAGCTTTTTATGCTTCCTTTTGTCTCTTGAGCCTCTTTCCATTTTGGACAGTTCCAGAATCATGTAGTTGGCTGTTTATAGGTCAAAACAGAAATACTTTTCAACATGCTCAGGAAGCATTATTGCAATGTTGTAATTATAATCCATCAGATTATTGCTGGTGCAAATAACTAACTAAACAAACTCATTTTACAGCCCATTATACCATGACTGCCTGATTTGTGTGCATTATGCTTTCAACTTAAATTAGGACATATTGCATGATGGCATAGTTTCCTGTTCTGTTAAATGTTCCTCAAGACCTTGAATAGAGAAAAGTTAAATTTATGAAGATCTTCAGGTTTGTCTCTCCAACTTTTTGTGTAAAGCAACCCCCTTTTGCAGGGACTCTGTATATTCGTCGTCGCAGTCAACTCCTGAGAGAGGGGGTGAAAGAGGAGGTATGTAGAGGTCTGAGGGACTGTAGAAAACTACATCCATGAAAGATAACTGTAGGTGTCTTGAAAACATGCTCCATGTTGCATTTCACCATGTCCACATGTTTGTGATCACCATTGTCACACCTAGTCTGATATTGATGTCACAGCAACCAAGTGCTGCACATTCATCCATCCTTGTTGCTCAAACTGTGAGGCAGCTGGGGTCTTGACCGAATTCGGCCGGACTAGGCCGTCCACTCCTCTGTATAATGGCCTATTTAAACACTCCGCAAATCGCTATACCCTCTCCTTGACCTCGTGTGTGTCTCGCTATCTACCCCCCCCCCCCCCCGCTTCCGACCCACTTCCGTCCATTCCGTCTCCTTCCCCACACAACATATTGCCTTTCCCCAGCCCTTTCTGACCTCTTGTCTCCTCCCTCCTTAACCCTGTCCCCTCCCCACTCCCCCTGGCTGGGCCACGTACCTTCCCCACACCTAGCCGCCGACGCCACATAACCCGCAGCCATGATGCACGTCAAGTCTCAACAGTGTCATGGTAACGGATGTGGGCCTGCCGACCGCCAGTCGGAGCCGACGCTGCGGCGCCAGTACCTGCGCCAGCGGGCGGCACTGCTCACGCAGCGGTACGGCGTGGCGCCCGACCAGATGTCGGTGCGCTCGCGCAGCGTCAGCACCCAGAGCCACAGCCGCCAGAGCCACAGCCGACACCACTCGGACGTCGAACTGGCGCGCCGCGTGAGTGGGGGAGGGTAAATGGGGGTATGCAGAGAATGCACCAGGTCGGGGCACCCTTTATTTGTACGGAAAGGTGTGTTTTAGAAGCCTACATTTCTGGTTTATATGCACGTTTTTCCCATTAATGATAGTTTGCAACAGCTTGTCACGTAAATTATTAGCTCCGGTGACATGTTATTGGCATGGCATGGAAGGCATTCAGCTGCTGCTGGGTCTCTCCCAGTGGATGTGTGCGGCCAGATGGTGTGCGGTAGCATTGATCAGGCATGCTGCATCGTCTTGAGACACGTCATACTCTTTGTCATACATAGTGAATAACGAACTTGTCGCCTCAGACGCATTAGGTTGTGCAAGATTGCTCGGGTGCGGAAGACTTCTTTCCATCGCGCGGACCGTCCTGCCTCCCCCAGGGAATGGACTCACCCGCGGCGCCGGGCCGCAGTGCGACCTCCCCCGCCGCCGGCTTGGTGCCGTCCGCCCGCGCCACTGCCTCGCAGGCGATCGTCGGCGGCGGCTCGCTGGACGACAACTACGCCTTCGCCGGCTTCCTGCACGTCTTTGATCAGGTGTGGAGACGCCGTGGTGCCCCAAACGGGGGGGGGGGGGGGGGGGGCGCCGGCGGTCGGTGGCGCCGCTAGTGTTCTTTGGCTTCGCGTCTTGTGTGGGGTTTGGACACATTCGCCCTGACTCTTCTGTCGGAGGATATGGATCTGCTGGGGTAAACAGTAAGGACGTACTGCTATATTAAAGGTGTCGTTAGATCGGTATAAATGATTGTGGGCTTATGTGATTACCATGTGCAGCAAATTGCCTTGCATTGCTGTGTCGTTCGATTGCTCGATTGGTTAGAGGGGCTGCCCCCTACCCATCCGCCCGTGGCGGGGCGGGTTCGAGTCGCTTAAGGCGCTCGCTATTTCTCTTCACTGGGATGGCTTGCAGCCGGTGGCAGCGGCCGCGCGAAAGGTCAGATGACGTCAGACGGCAGGACAGACCGTGCCGAACATCGCGGCATGTCAAAATTTCGCCACCAAATTATATTGTTGACCTGGAATCGCACAAGCGCATGGTATGGGTTAGGGCCTGCGTCAAAACCATTGCTTCGTGTGGGCTCTGATTCCAGAAAAAAGCATCCGTTCAAAAAGCTCGGACTCAATGAAACAGCACAGACAAATGGTGAAACATGTACCCGCAATAACACTGTGTGTTAGAATTAAAAAGCAATTTTGTGATTGATGTTTACGGAGGTGCTAGGCTGGTTATGTGTCGAACAAGATCAAAAGTCGGCCAGTTTTCACTGGATGAGGAAATAAAGGGGCGACATGGATAATGGCAACACTTAGTGGGCTTATGGCTTTTGGCATGCTCATAGGCGACATACCCTCTCGCCCAAACGGCGGTGTCTGTTCTTCACTAGTCACACGCCATCTCCATGTCAGAATCGGAGGCAGAGCCCGTAACAGTGCCACTATCCCGCCCTTCCCGGCGAGAGCCGGCCGATGGGGCGGCTGGGAACGGCGTGGCCACCAGAGCAGACCTGTGCTTGCCGGCAGCACTGGCGAGAGCCGGCCGGTGGGGTGGCTGTGAGCGGCGAGGCCTTCAGAGCCGACCTGTGCCTGCCGGCAGCACCAGCAAGCGTGACGTCCTGTGCTTGCCGGCAGCACCAGCGAGCGGTGACGACCTGTGCTTGCCAGTAGCACCAGCAAGCAGTGACGTCCTGTGCTTGCCGGCAGCACCAGCAAGCGGTGACGTCCTGTGCTTGCCGGCAGCGCCAGCGAGCGGTGACGTCCTGTGCTTGCCGGCAGCACCAGCGAGCGGTGACGTGTGTGCGGTTCGCGCACGACGAGCGGTCCCTGCTGGCGTTCGGCTCGCTGGACGGCCGCGTCTCCGTGTGTGACCTGGACGCCGAGGACAAGGTCAAACACCTGCTGACCGGCCACACAGACGGCGTGACCGGTGAGGCGGGCCGACGACTGGGGCGGTGCTGACGCGAGCCAGCGCGAGGCGGCGCCGCCCTGGGTCACCTCCCGGGGCAGCCGGCCTCGCCGCTCTCACCGAGGTCTGCAGAGCGGTGCTCGCTATCAGCACGGTGCGAGCTTTGTGCTGTCTTGCCAGGCTTTACATGGACTTGTCTGCACACGCAGAAGTCTGACAGGCTTGATGGGATCTAAAGTGGCATGCAACGCCCGGACCCGCGTATCTGTTTCCTTCTCCAGCTGTGCAGAAACTATGCTGCTCACTGCCTGTGTTTCAGTGAGAGGTACCACGGGTACTGCTGTTACTGTTCAGCTGGTCCAATACTGCCCACCTCTAGCCGCTTCTGGTATCGTTCCGCAGGTCTAGAGTAGTCTACCTCTAACAACTTTTTAGTGTCTGAGGTCCGCTCTTGCCCATCACTACCCTTTTTGCTCACCTGCAGTGGTCCACCCCTAACAACTTCCTGGTGTCGTGCGTCGGGTCCGGACCTGCCATCTCCATCCTCGTGCCGCAGGTCTGGAGTGGTCCACTTCTAACGACTTCTTGGTGTCGTGTGTCGGGTCCGATCCTGCCATCTCTGCCCTCGTGCCGCAGGTCTGGAGTGGTCCACCTCTAACGACTTCTTGGTGTCGTGTGTCGGGTCCGGTCCTGCCATCTCCATCCTCGTGCCGCAGGTCTGGAGTGGTCCACCTCTAACAACGTCCTGGTGTCGTGCGTCGGGTCCGGTCCTGCCATCCCTGCCCTCGTGCCGCAGGTCTGGAGTGGTCCACCTCTAACGACTTCCTGGTGTCGTGTTCACTGGACGCCACGGCGCGGCTGTGGGGCGCCGCCGACGGCCGCTGTCTTCGTGCCGTGGCCGACCCGCACCACTCGCCGCTCGCCTGCGTCGTCTTCCACCCGATCAACAACAACCTCGTCATCGTATCCTCACCCGGGCGCCGAGAGGAGGCAGCGGGTCATATTTGAAATCGTGCGATTCGCGGACGATTATGTTAGTGCTCGCTGCTTAGCTGCTCAACGTTAACTGTGTGTACTGCACGCGCGCGCCGTTTCTGCATCGACGTGTGCTGCAATGGTAATGGTAATGGTAATGTAAAAGGTAACGCTGATGCATGTTATGGACCTGCGCGTCCTAGTCGGTGTGGTGGCCATGCGTGCTGTGGAGCGGCAATGGCAATGCCACGCCATTATCGTTGGCACTGCGCCCCGGCCAGCGCCGCGTGCTCTGGCGACGTGACAGGACCTTGACCGGCCGTCCAGCTGGGGAACAAGGTGGGCCTGGTGCAGGTGTTGAACGTCTCGTCGGGCCACTACCCGGCCGGCGGCAGCAGCCAGCTGGCGGCGTCGGCCACGGCGCTGGCGGCGCCTCCCACCGGCCCGCTGATCTGGGCCGGCTGTCAGAAGGTAACGCCGCCGGCGGAGCGGCGAGCGGCGGCCGCTGCCGCGCCCGGCGCCGGTGAGGAGGCCGCGGTCTCCGGTAGGGGTGGGAGGTGCGGGGGCGGGGCGGAACGTACAACTGGAACGTGCAACTCGCTCATGCTGTTCCGGTGAGCAGGGCCGAGCGCGGCGTCGAGGTCAGGTTCGTGGTGTGGCGACGCGACTCCGCTGGCGGGTGGGCGGGCTCCTGCAGCGGTGGTGAGGTGTCACAATGTCCGCCGACGCCGCAGGGGATGGTGGTGTCGTTCCGCTGTGACCAGGGCTCGGGCCGGCTGGTCAAGTGCCGGCGCGTGACGGTGTCGGACGGCGCGCCCGTCACCTGTATCTCCGCCCGCTCGTGGGCCAGCCGCGAGGCCGCCGACATGTCTCTGCTCGTCAACGCCGCCTGCAACTCGCTCATGCTGTTCCGGTGAGCAGGGCCGAGCACGGTGCCGAGGTCAGGTCACGGCGCCGATGTCAGGTCACGCGCGGCGCCGGCGGGTGGTGCACGGCCAGCGATGGAGTGACGGCTTAGCGATTGTGTTGTGGCCACGTGTGGATGGTTTTGTCACCCAACATGTGGCGGATGCACCTAAACGTGATGTGTTGATCCGTCAGGGTTTCCAAAAGTATCATGGGTGTTGTAATTATGTCGGGGTTGTGTTGCGTGGTCCCTGTCATCGATACGGTTTCCCCAGGGATATTCTGTCGGTAGATCTTATTTTCCAACGACCCGTGATTGCATCACTAATCTCGCACCTTCGGTCGCTGCTGCTGTTCCCGAAGGCCTCTCAGCGATCGTGTCGAGTTTCGCCGCCGGTCGGCGGCGGTACTGCGCCGATTTCATCCTCACGCGTTTGTCCAATATACCCGCGAGAGTGCTGCCATCGGCACTGCTGCAGCCGCTCCCTGACCGGGCGTTCTCGGCAGACCATGCCGTCGCAGCGCTCTCACATGCCCTGCTGCAGCCGCTCGCTGGCCGGGCGTTCTCAGCAGCCTATACCATCACAGCGCTCCCACATACCCTGCTGCAGCCGCTCCCTGACCGGGCGTTCTCAGCAGCCTATGCCGTCGCAGCGCCCACACATACCCTGCTGCAGCCGCTCCCTGTCGGGCGTTCTCAGCAGCCTATGCCGTCGCAGCTTCCCCACATACCCTGCTGCAGCCGCTCCCTGACTGGGCGTTCTCAGCAGTCTATGCCGTCGCAGCGCCCACACATGCCCTGCTGCAGCCCCTCCCTGGCCGGGCGTTCTCAGCAGCCTATGCCGTCGCAGCGCCCCCACATGCCCTGCTGCAGCCCCTCCCTGGCCGGGCGTTCTCAGCAGCCTATGCCGTCGCAGCGCCCCCACATGCCCTGCTGCAGCCCCTCCCTGACCGGGCGTTTTCAGCAGCCTATGCCGTCGCAGCGCCCACACATACCCTGCTGCAGCCCCTCCCCGGCCGGGCGTTCTCAGCAGCCTATGCCGTCGCAGCGCCCACACATGCCCTGCTGCAGCCGCCGATGCCCGTCCGTGGCTGACGGCCGTCGGTGCCGGCAGGGTGGTGGACCAGGAGGGCGGGCTGCAGCTCAGGCGGCGCTTCAACGTGCGCCACAGCACGCATGCCATCAAGTCTTCCTTCTGCCCAATCATGTCGTTCCGGCAGGGCGCCTGCGTCGGTGAGTGGAGCGGGGTGACGTCACATCTGTGGCGGCCGATGTGTCGGTCCTTTCTTCTGCCCAATCATGTCGTTCCGGCAGGGCGCCTGCGTCGGTGAGCGGAGCGGGGTGACGTCACACCTGTGGCGGCCGGTGCGTCGGTCCCCGGGGTGGGTTGCGCTGGCGGTCCGGGTGCGAGGACTGCCGGGGGTGGGGAGAGCCGAGAGAGTGGCGGGCAGGCAGCGACGGGCTGAGCAAACTGCGAATGCACAGAGCGCACAGAGATTCAAGAATGCTGTAACCATTCTGCATTGAAGCTCATCCTTGCTACAGCACAGGAAGATTACCATCTTCATGTATCATGTGATTTGGGCCCTCATCGTGCTTCAGCGGCAGTCGACAGCTGTTTGTCTGTTCCTGCAGACGGTAAGATGTGACGTACTCACGGTGCTCGCCACTCTCGAGTAGCATCGGCGACACTGCACGAGTGCACTGAAGCTGTAGAGCTGTGCTGAGCCTGTCTGACTGTGCGTAGGCTGCACTGCTGCTGTACTGCAGCCGCGCTAGACATGGGCGCCGTAATGTCACAGTCGCTGCCGCGCGCTGCGTGGCGTGACGCTCGGTTGTAGTGAGAGCTGTCAGTCGCCTGCCTGTGCCGTGTTGCAGTGTCGCGCAGTGGCCACTGCAAGTGCACAGTGTACCTGCCTGACATGGAGCGGGATCTTAAGCCGTGTACCGTCTATTGCAGTGTCGGGCAGTGAGGACTGCACGGTGTACCTGTTTGACGTGGAGCGTTACCTGAAGCCGTGTACCGTCTGTTGCAGTGTCGGGCAGTGAGGACTGCACAGTGTACCTGTCTGACATGGAGCAGGATCTCTGGCCGTGTGCTGTCTGTTGCAGCGTCGGGCAGTGAGGACTGTATGGTGTACCTGTTTGACGTGGAGCGGTACCTGAAGCCGTGTACCGTCTGTTGCAGTGTCGGGCAGTGAGGACTGCACGGTGTACCTGTTTGACGTGGAGCGGGATCTCAAGCCGTGCGTGAACCGGCTGCAGGGCCACTCGGCCGCCGTCCTCGACGTCTGTTTCAACAGGGACGAGTCGCTGCTGGCCACGGCCGACGCCGAGGGCACCGTTATTGTGTGGAAGCGGCAGCTGTGATGGCCGCCGGGTAACGCGGGGACGGCCCGGCGTGACGGCGGCGCCACGTGGAAACGGCGGCTGTGCTGGCCGCCCGGTAACGCGGGGCGCCCCGGCGTGACGGCGGCGCCGCAAGCAAACGGCAGCTAGCTGTGACGGCCGCCGGGTAACGCGGGGACGGCCCGGCGTGACGGCGGCGGCGCGCGCAAGCGGCGGCTTCGACCTGCGTCACGTTGAAATGTTCGCTGTGAGGTTTGGTGGGCCGCGGGCTTTGCTGTGATCGTGCCGCGGGCGAGACGCTAGATCTGGCCGATGTGCGGACACGCTGTAGTGTCCTGCAGTGTCCCTTACGAAGGGTGGCCGTTTTCCGTACTTGAACTGTGATGATGATCTGACGCTCCCGTGTGATTATTTGCGCTCCGGTGTGTGGGCTTCTGTGATGAGGCTCCAGCCTCCAACTGCGAGGACCATCTGGCGGCGCCCAGACTGAGACGGTGGCGTGAACGGCCGTGTGAGGATGACCTGTGCGGTGGAAGGTCACGTATGAGAGTGGCTGGTCCGCTTAGTTGTGCGGTACATGGACCTACGTGCTTCAAACATTCCCATGTAATAGCAAACATTTATGCACATATGGGTTTGTTTTGCGCTTGGTTTTGCAGCTTGGAGCGTGGGGAGGCGAAAACGGATATGCGTGTCCATTATGTGGAGGACGACAAAACATTATTGCCGTTCAAAGGCAAAAGAGCCTAAGCGCCATTGGGTAAAATAGGACGTTGGCCTTTTTGCCTCTGGACGGCAGATTAGTGTTAGCTCCGGGAACAGACGCCGACAATTTCATCAATGTGTTGGAACGTTCCCCTGATGTGCCAGACAGGCGGAAGCGCGATGATGTTTCTCCGCGCACACCTTTTCGAACGACGCGACGACAAGATCATCTGCCTTTGGGTCCGGCAATTTTATCCACCAAATCGATATTTGATCAAATTGTATCGATTAAACAGTTATTTAGCCCATGAAATCAATGAACGGCGTAGGTGATCACTCACCATGACCAGCATTTTGAAGAAGGCAAGTGATTCGGGTGGACGCTCATACCCTGGACTTCGGAAGAAGACTCAAGTACCTAATGATAGCCAGCTCTGTAAATAGTAATACTTACCGATAACGTTCACTGTCCTCGTGCGGAATGGCGTGGGACGGCACCCTGGTCTACCCTTGCCGCGTGCATCTGTCCGCTTTGATCAAACTGCCCGTTGTTTTAAGGCACAAGATAGTTTCCATATTTGCAAATGGTATGTTGGCTTACACTGTGTAGTCGGTTCCGTGCCTTGGTCTGCATTGGTTGCCAATATTTGAGATCAATCTTTAAAATGTCAGAGGACGGGCGAATCCATCGTTTGCGTTTCTGCTCTCGTGAAGCGCAGACACACGCGCCTGCCAGGGCTGTCCTCTGTATAAAAGGCGAGCGCCCCCCCCCCCCCCCCTTGAGAGGGCAAACCGCTAACTGCGTGTTGTTCTCGTGTCTATCCGACATCGAGACCTGGGCACTGTTTCGATCCAGATCTTAAGTTTTTGTTTTGCAGCTTTAGAATGTCACATTCGCTCGGTTCATCGAATGGAGACGCGAAGCTGCTGACGCGTCACCAGCTGAGGGAGAGCAACGCCCCAACACGCCGCTTGCATGCATGGCTTTATAGCGTTGCGATACAACTTTTAATGAACGCTTCTTGTTCATGTTCTTGTTCTTCTTCATTACCGTGATGCGGCCCTCAGCGGCATGGCGGTAATACTGATGGTCGCAAATACGCACGCTCATCAGGCGTCTGACTGGCCCGGACAGGCCACTGAAACCACATTTATCAGACGCCTGACTGGCCTGGAGAGGCCACTGAAATCACAATTGTCAGACGCCTGGCTGGCCCGGAGACGCCACTGAAACCACATTTATCAGACGCCTGGCTGGCCCAGACTGGCCGCTGAAGCCACATCTCTGACCAGCTGGCGCTGCTGCTCGGGTGCGGTTCCGCACGCGACGGCATTAAGTCCGCGGGCACGCGTTACGCGCCGGCCAGGACCACGGGTGGTTCACCTGTCCGAACGGAAGCTGAGAAAAGCGAAATCAGGCCAAAATCAGACTGAAGTGTAACACAGGAACGTTCAGCCACGCGGGACCGAAAATGCGCATGCGCGCGGGACCCAAAAGACGCATTGGGCCACAGCGACGCTCTGCGAGAAGCAAAATTATGCAATGCCAGCATACCCTGAAGCCCCAATTAGCGTGACACAAAAATCATTTTTAAATCCCCTTTGTTCCGCCGGTGAGACAGGTGATGTTGGATGCTTCACCGCGCGTCTCCGCTCGCACCAACCACCGAACCTCATCACAGCAGGCACCTTGATTTTTCTTTATTAACTATTAAGTATTCAATTTCTACACGAATTACTCACGCACCGAAAAGCGTGCCTTGGAAAGGAGCAATAACAATGTCGAAGGCCGGACAAACGCACGATTCGTAGTGGGCGGCGCCGCGCGCTCAAGCGCGCGCGCCCAGCCTTACACTAACGCACTCCGGCCAGCCACGGGGCGACCGCAGCGCCCCTGGCGTCCAATATGGCAAACAAGGCGGCGGCCGGCCTCTACACACAAGTTAGTCTGGGACAGTCCTCGTATGAAGCGGATTAGTGGAGCGCGGCCAGCGGCCGGCGCGCTGCCAGTAAGCCGCCGGCCGCCCCACCTTCGCGGCGTCGCCAGCCGCGCCTGCTTATAAAAGTACGCGCCTATATGAAAAATATATGTATGCATACTCGCAGGCGGCGGCGGCGGCGGCGGCGGGCGCAACGCTCGCCCCTGCCGCGCCCTCACACGCGCGCACTGGCATCACCATCACGTTCAGACAATCACATCACATCTCGCACGGGCGGGGCCGGCGGCAGACCCCAGACGGAATGTGGCGCGCTCCTGCGGGCGCGCGCGCGCGCAGCTCAAGCGTCGGCCTCGCCGTCGCCGTCGACGCTTTCGTCGGGCAGCGAGGAGGCCGAGTCGTCGCCGCTGGCCGTCGTCTGCAGGCTGCTGCGCTTGATGCCGCTCAGCAGACGCGACGAGGAGACGCCCAGGCCGGCGCCGCCGCGTCTGCGGGCGAAGCCAGGCGGGTCAGACGGCGCGCCGGCCGACAGCGGGGGGGGGGGGGGGGGGGGGAGGAGGCACGCACGCCCGGCCCACGATCATTGACGGGGAACGGCGCGCCGCCGCTGGAGCACTGCAACTGCGTACTTTAAAAGACGAGAATACATAACTGACTGAAGAAATAGAGTAAATGCCCATGGAGAAAGAACGTCTAAAGAGACCGCACGAAAGGCGAAAGAACCGCGCATGGAGAAAACGCCCGCGCCCGCTGCACGGCGTGCGCGGGGCCACCAATGAGGCATCGCCGGTGGAAGACGAAATTTCTCCCCGCGTGGCGGTGTTCAGTGACGATTTTGTGGACGGTTACAGAGGCGGACGACGAGAGACAGAGGGGCCGTGGCATAGGACTGTCGCTATGACAGGGATGAAGACGTGGACGGGAAGACGGCACTCATGGGAGCGGGCAACCTAGCACGCAGTGGAGTCCGGAGGGTCACGAACGCAGGCGGACGGCGGAACGGACGGCCAAGGATGGTCGGCACATGGGAGAGGTCGCCGGACTAAGGGATCACAGAAGTGGGCGACAGAGGCTGAACGGATAGCGAACCAGATAAACTGAAAGTTACAAAAGGACACCCCCGCCCCAGCAGCTGCCACAGACGCCAGAGAGCATCTCGTCGCCCCAGACGCAAGGCGTGCCAGCATCGCGGCACGGGCTGGCGACCTGGGCGACAGTCTCCGCCGACGGCAGCGCCCGCGTCCACACTGGGCACCTCGTCACGCGGCGAGCACACACAGCATGCGTCACAGATCTCCGCACAGCAACAGCATAGAGTCCGACGCAAGTGAGGCGCGAGGTGAGGCGTGCAGCGCATGCCCAGCGACGCATCGAAGCGTCGCACCAGTGCGAGGCCACGCAAAACCACGATGTCAGGCACGGGGCGCGTCCAAACACGTCCGTCTAAACACTGAACACGTCCGATGCACACTTGGAGCGAAGGAAACGTACAACAACATACTAAGATGAGACATGCAACAGACCAAACCAACTGATTAGCGCTATCACGATGCTCGCTGGATGAGTCAAACCTAGGAGCAAGTGACCTGCAATCACTGATGCCATAATCCAGACTGTGTACGGGTGAGGGGTGCCAACGTCCCCAGGGCGCTGGTTTTCGGCCAAGTGTCGCACTGACTGGGACATTTCCAAGATGTTTCGACCAATAAGCATATGAGCCTTCAGGTTTCATTCAGGACTTAAATTGAACGACCACCAGGATGCCCCCCCCCCCCCCTCCCCCCACTCCACGACAGGGTGGCGGCAGAGCACAGCGGGAGGTGGTGTAAGAACAACGCGTCACTCCGGCAGGCGGTCGCCATGAGATCACAAAAATGACAGCCCATAGTCACTGGAGGTGCACAAATTGTTACGACACTCGTGCGGTTAGTTCCAGTAACAGCCCGATCCGGTGAGGTCTCAGTTCACGCCATCCTGATGTTAGTTCTACACGTGGTTCACAAGGTGCCTACAACCTCTTCTGCTGCTTGACCTCCAACAGCACCGCCTCCGCCTCTGCGATGCTGCAAAACCAGCCCCGGTTAGACGCCACGCCCCGCGCGGAACACGCCCATACGCTGAGACCCGACTGCACCGAAGGCAAACGTGTCCCCACTCTGCCTGGCGTGCTCTCATTCATCCACGGGCGATGAGAGCCAGCGCAGACGCCAGCCAGCCGGCTCCGGCAGCGAAACCCAGCATCGAGAAGGCTGTGCGCACCACGGACAGCGCCAAGCGCCCGCAACAACAACAGGCAAGTGTCCGAGTAGCCACCAAACAAGCGTCCAACGAGCGCCAAGCGCCCACAACAGTACCCAGCAAGCGCCCGAGCAGCCACCAAGCAGGCGTCCGAGTGGACAGGCAAGCGTTCCTGGCAGCTGGCCGAGCGGGGCACGCGCCGCCGAAGCCTGCCGTCCGACTGACCGTTCACAGCCGCCGCTCTGTCCGACTCAGTGGACCCGGCTGCCGCGGCGGCCGGCGGGAGACGCGTTAGCACGGGGCCACACGCCGGTCGGGGCCAGCTATACTACCCCCGACAGCGCTGGCCGGCCAGGCCGACAGCGCTCCTATAGCTGCCAGGGCTAGTCTAGTGGCGCGTACTGCGACGCTCACAGCAGACGCCGCGACCAGCTCCGCTATGCATGCGATAAACCCACAGGAAGATATCCTCCGCACGAGTGGTGTTTACGCCACATAGGAGGAAGAGCATTCATGCCACACCCAACGCACTGGAAAGGTAAGGCAGCATTTGTACAAGTGACGAGCATCTAGCTTTGCTGGCTTATCCCGTGGTCCCGAGGAAAAGCGGGACATTTCACTATTTAGTGTTGTCTACGCGCCAACAGGGAGCGCGGCCAATAGCAGCCGGTGTCGTGATACATAACACACACCCGACATCCCAGCGACATAGCTCTGTCATGAACGCCTAGCCCCAGCCCCCGACCGAACCCCTCACTCTGACGCACCGGCGCCTCCGTCAGCCGCCCGCCGGGCCCCTCTCTCTCACGACCCCACTCTCGCGGCGGCGGCGGCCGCGGCTCACCTCAGCTTGTTTCGCAGCGTGGCGAGCTCGCGGTTGGTGGTCTCCTGCGTTTCCAGCATGTCTTCCAGCTCGCGCTGCGCCTTGCGCTTCTGGCTCTTCTCGCGCGACAGCTCCTCCTCGGTCTCGTCCAGCTGGCGCTTCAGCGCCTTGACGCGCGAGTTGACCTTCTCCACCTGCTCCTTGTACTGGTCGGCGTGGCGTCGCTCGTCCTCCAGCTGCATAATCAGCTCCTTCATGCTGCAGCCGAGGCGGGGCGGGGAGTGTTAGTGGCGGGAGCCGGTCGCTGGCACACTGAGATCGCTGCGAGGGACGGGTAAGAGCTGAGCCCGGTAGCCAGGAACAGCTGGCAACGGCACAGACTAAAACAAACGTAGCCTGGCGTGGCAGGGCGGACCAAGCGGTGAAGTCAACGGAGCTCAAGTGCCCTGATCAATGGTCATATGGATAACGGGGCTCAGTTGTCAGCCGACTCATATGTCATCCGTGACTTTTTCACGACGGACACACCGTCGCATGTCACCAGCGCACCGGCCAGCAGCACACTGGCCCCGACGCCGGCACACGCCCGTCATCCAACAGGCCCCGGACCCCGACGGCGGCCGGAGCCGCCCCCCCCCCCCCCCCCCGCGGAGTCGCCGGCGTACACCCGTCATCCAACAGGCCCCGGACCCCGACGGCGGCCGGAGCCGTCACCCCCCCCCCCCCCCGCGGAGTCGCCGACACACGCCATCATCCAACAGGCCCCGGACCCCGACGGCGGCCGAGCCGTCACCCCCCCCCCCCGCGGAGTCGCCGGCGTACACCAGTCATCCAACAGGCCCCGGACCCCGACGGCGGCCGGAGCCGGCACCGCCCCCCCCCCCCCCCCCCTGCGGAGTCGCCGACGCACGCCCGTCATCCAACAGCCCCCGGACACAGACAGCGGCCGGAGCCGCCCCCCCCCCCCCCGCGGAGTCGCCGACGCACGCCCGTCATCCAACAGCCCCCGGACCCGACGGCGGCCGGAGCCGGCACCGCCCCCCCCCCCCCCCGCGGAGTCGCCGACGCACGCCCGTCATCCAACAGCCCCCGGACCCCGACGGCGGCCGGAGCCGGCACCGCCCCCCCCCCCCGCGGAGTCGCCGACGCACGCCCGTCATCCAACAGCCCCCGGACACAGACAGCGGCCGGAGCCGACACCGCCCCCCCCCCCCCCCGCGGAGTCGCCGGCGCTCACCGTTTCTCCAGCTTGCGGTTGGCCTTGGCCTGCAGCAGGCGCTCCTTGGCCTCGCCCTCCAGCTGCTCGTCCAGGTTGCGCAGCTTGGACTCGAGCGCGGCGATGGTGGCCTTGGTGCGCGAGCGCTGGTCGCCCTCCAGCTCCGAGAGCTTGGCCTTGAGCTCCTGCCGACAGCGGGGCGCGGGTCAGCGTCCGACCGGGGCGGCGCGCCCAGCAGGCGGCGGCAGCCCGCGCCGGCAGCCGGCGGGGCGCGCCGACGGAGCGATGCACGAGGGCGTCTCCGACTGTTACCGTTCTCTATTGGCACGATCGAGGTGGAGCGCAGTTCGTGCACTGGTGGCTTAGAGCCGGCCGCGGCTGCGACAGACTGCACGGTGGCTTAACGCATAAAAACGGCACTCCGCCGTGGCGCCGACACAATGCTGAACTCCCACCGCCCGAAGACGACTCAATCGATCGACATCGATCAGCTACATGACCCCAGTCCTGCACCTTATCCATGCACGTAATCCAGCCGCAGCCATCGCAAACATCCAATGAGAATGATCCGCTCATTTGAGCTTGATAAGGTCGCAGCTCTACACCACTTCGGACCCGATGTTCCCGCGCACCAGCGGCCCCTGGTTCGCTCGCCCGCGAGATCACCGTCGCGCCGATGCCCGCCCTTCATCACCGCCTCCTGCCACCGGCCGGTCGTGCTCACCTTGTTCTGTCGCTCCATCATCATGCGGCTGCTCTCGAGCTTCTGCGTGGCCGAGCGCTCCGTGGCCAGCTCGGTAGGTGACCTGCTCCAGCTGCAGCTGACCCTTGCGCGCGCGGTCCATGAGGATTTCAGAGTTGGACTGCTCCTCCTCCAGCTCGTCCTCCAGCGCCGAGATGCGGGCTTCCAGCCGGCGCTTCTCGTCCGCCAGCAGGTTACTGTCGGTCACGAGAGCCCAGGTCAAGTCAGGTCAGGTCAGGTCAGGTCAGGTCAGGTCGGTCAGGTCAGGTTGCCACTGACGGAGCTAGGCGGGTGGCCTAGCGGCCAGACACAGACCACACAGCATGGCCTCGTTTTTGGTGGTATGATCGTGTCCCCATGGAAAGATGTCCAGTTTCTCAGGATGGGGATGCCGAGGCTGTTTCCTTGCTGACGAGAAAGTTCCAAACTTACTGAAATGGTACAAACTGTCTACCTAACTGAAGGGCACGTGCATTACGTTACGAAGGTCTATGTAGCCGTCTAGTGTAAATTACCCCTCCCCATCCCCCCAGTCATTTCTGGCTGCCGGTAGCAGCCCGGGTATTCTTAAGAAGGGAGGGGGGGGGGGGGGCGGGAGCTCGGTGAGCACTCAGTGAAGCGTCGGCTGTACAACAGAAGTCGCTCCCGCTGCTCACTCCCGACACTTTGTCCCGAACCGCGCCTTGGTTGGACACCGCGCGGCGTCCCACTCTCACGACATACCAAATCAGCTCAGCCCGGCAGACGCACCCTGCCTCCTACCACACCTGTGGACCGCCGTCTGTCCCTGCTAATGCCCCCTGCCCCGCCCTCACCCGGCACATGTGACTCACCCCTTGCTGGCGTTGTTGGCGATCTCCTCGTGCAGCTCGTCGCGCTCCTGTTCGGCGCTCTTGCGCGCGCGCTCGGCCGACGAGAGGTCCTCCTGCAGCTGGATCAGCTCCGCCTCCAGCGTCTTGTTCTTCTTCTCGGCCTCCTTGCACTGGGTGACCATCTCCTCGCGACTGAGGCGCGCCTCCTCCGCCTGCTGCTGGCTGTCCTTGAGCAGCATCTGCCGAGAGGGGAGGGCGTGGGGGTCACCGACGGCTGGCCGCGCTTCGGCCCCACGCGCGCAGACCTCGACGCCGGCGATGACGATGACTCAGGCTGCAGCGACCACAGCCGGCGACGCTGCGTGCCGGTCGGCACGCGGCCGGCGATGACGGTGACTCTGACTGCAGCGACCACAGCCGGCGACACTGCGTACCGGTCGACACGCGACTGTTATTGGCAGTGACGTGGCGGCACGGATATCAAGTCGGGCCTCAGTTGCGGCCACAGAGTGCAGGGCGGGTTCATTACACAAACTCACGCGCCTATAAAAGCGCCCAGTCCGAAAGATCCGAGCCACGGAGCAGCGGTACAGTCCGCTCGCCTGTGATGCACGGCTGCTGAGCGGCGGGTCAACGTTCAACATACGACAGGGTCAGGGACGACAGCGGCTACAACACCGCCCGGCGGGCAGCCCTGGCCAGGCCGCCGACACACGCGTCCACGCACCTGCATCTTCTTCAGCTGCTTCAGCGCGTCGTCTTGAGCTTGTTGTTCATCTCCATCTGCTGCTCGAGGTCCTTGTAGTCGGCCTCCAGCTTCTTGCGCAGCGCCGAGCTGGAGCCGCGCTGTTTCCGCTCGTCGTCCAGCTCCATCTCCAGGTCGCGCAGCTGCTTCAGCAGGGCGCGCCGCTTCTCCTCCGCCTGCTCCTCCTTGGCCTGCGGCGGCGGGCGCGGCGGCCAAAAGTCAGAGGCGGTCACGGGCCGCGTCGGGGTGCGGTGTGGACGCGGCCGCCCGCCCGGGTCACAGGCGCCGGTGGAGCGGGACGGGGCGCCACCAGCTGACGGTGCACGTAATCACGTGACGGCCCCACGGAGCCGGTCGAGTCGCGAGCAGAGGTCAGGCTAAGCTTGGCCGGGGTGCGAAAACGGTCCATATCGACTGAGCGCATGAGACTGGATACAGGCAACCCCAGCTCATCGTACAAATCAGTCCACGCGCTTTCTGAAGCATGGACATGAGAGTCGCCGAGTTACAAGTTACCATAAGTTTCTGGGTCGAGCGAATGAATGAATGAATGAATGAATGAATGAAGTTCAAAGAGTAGCCGAATGAATGACGAAAAAGCGAGAATTACGTTACTACGTTAAGTTAATGAATAAATGAAGTTAAAAACAGGCAATTGAATGAATGAATGGAGTTGCAAAAGCCGAATTATTGAATGCAGTTTAAAATAACCCGATGACAAACATAACGAAACGCAAGGTTCCCACGACCGTTTTCATGACGAATTGTTTTGCTCAATGAACTTATTCAAGCAGCAAACTCCCACCGTTTCCCCTACAATGACGATGATGCCGGCCGCCTTTCAGGGCGCGCCGACTACTAAGGTTATGCTGTGCTCAAGGCAGCGAGCGCCCGCGCATTGAACGTTCCAGTAAAATGAACCCTCACTGTCTGACTCCTGCGCTATGAGCCTGCACCGACTTCCACAGTCTGGTAACTTCCGAGGCTGCCAGAGCGTCTGCTGCCGCCAGTGGCTCTGTGCCGCTGTCGCCGGCCGGTCCAGAGCCGGCCGGCTGCCGTACCTGCATGTCGCGCTCGAACTGCGCCTTGAGCGCCTGCATGTTGACCTCCAGCCGCAGCTTGGCATCCTCGGTCATCTGCAGATCGTCCTCCAGCTCCTCCATCTGCGTCTTCATGTCGGCCAGCTGGCTCTCCAGCGTCCGCTTGGCCTTCTCCAGCTCGTGCACCTGGCGGCGGTCGAGACGCGGTCAGCGGTCTGGCGGGGGCACACGGCCACCCTGCTGCGGCCCGGCCAGTTCGCCGCCAGCCGCGTGGGCTCGCTACTAGGCGCGCGGTGTGCGGCGACACGCGCGTGGTCGTGGTCGGGGCACGGGCCCGCGCCCTGTGATAAGAGCTGGGCTCTCAGGCTTGGCTGACGGTCCTGCAGCCTTGGAAGGTGTCGTAACTGGGGTTCACACGACACTCACCAACTGCCGACCAGAGAAACCCTCCACGACTGGCCCATTGTGTTAGGAGTGTCGATCCCGACCTCTATGCACACATGTTCGGTGACCCTGTCCTGCCTACTTCGACACGAACACCGCCAGGCTCCCGCAGCCAACTAGAGCTGTTCGCTTCACCCGTTTTACACCGGACCACCACGCCATCCTTCCCTGGTGACGTGCCCCACGGGAACCCTCGCCCTCCAGTCCTGGCGGCGCACGTACGTTCTTGTCGGCTGTGCCTTGCGAGTTGACCAGCTCGTCGAGCTCGTTCTGCAGCTGGCGGCGCGACTTCTCCAGCTCCTCGCGCACCGTCTGCGCCTCGTCCAGCTCGCGCGTCAGCGACAGCACCTTGGTCTCCTTCTCGCGCGCCTCGCGCTCGGCGTTATCGCGCTCCTGGGAGATCTGCTCGCACAGCGACTGCCGGCGAGGAGGGAGAGCGTCAGCGTCAGCGGGCGCCGCGGCCGGCGCGCACCGGCCCAGAGACGGCGCGTTACCATGGTGACAGAGACGATGTCAGATCGGGGTTCATCACGGACGGTGCACACAAACGTCCGAGCTGGAGCAGTCAGGCCACAAGTTATGACATGGAAGACACTGCTACCCAGTTGTGCTGTGGCGAGCCGCCGCAACGCAGAAATACCAGCCGCGTGCATCGCCGAGCAAGGGGACAGCGCATCGACGACCCGGTCTGCTCCTGACCCAGCACCGCCCCGTAATACGTGCCGAATAAAACATCTCGCATACAGGGCGTGTAATAGGCAGACCACGGCAGTTGCGGCCAATGGCGCAGCGTGGCACTGACAATGTGTGCAGTAATGGCGCATTGTGTGCAGTAAATGCAGACAATCTGCCCCGAGCCTTCGCCTGCCGCTGTCACCATGCTCTCCACACTACAGAACCCTATACGCAAGCCTGATCTTCACCGACAACTCCGCGCATCCATCCCGTACAACCGCCACCGCTTCACTCCGCTGACTTCACCTCTTCGCTGAGCAGCCCAGCCGGTCCCTCCCGCCTCTCTCTGCCCTCTGACCAGCCGCACCCCGGCGGGCCCCTCCCACCTCCCTCTGTCCCTCTGACCAGCCCCACCCTGCTCCTCACCTTCTCCTCGTTCATGGCCTTGTCGAAGTTGCGCTGTTTCTTCTCCAGCTCGGAGAGCTTGGCGCGCTGGGCGTCCAGGTCGATGGTGACATCGTCCAGCTCGGCCTGCAGCTTCTTCTTGCTGCGGTCCAGCTTGTCGTTGGCCGCCTGCATCTCCTCCACCTGGTGGCGCAGCTCCTCGATCTCCTGCCGGCGCCGACAGCGGACCACAGCGTCAGCCACGCGTGTCGGGCGGACGGACGGACCGCGGCCCGGACATAGCACCGCCGCCGACAGCGGACCACCGCGTCAGCCACGCGTGTCGGGCGGACGGACGGACCGCGGCCCGGACATCGCACCGCCGCGCGATGGGCCGCCCTGGGACGGCGTGTGACGCCGGGACAGCTGACACCTGGCCGGGCCCGGCGGCGACCAGACGCAGCACCGCGCTCTCCCGCACAGCACACGGGCGGGCGTACTGACTGGTGATTACCAACGCGACAACCACACGAGTGGCAAGCGCACGTGGACTTATTCCCCAACCCCCACTAAAACACGTCGCCATGGCGCGCTAGTTTTCCCTCCAGTTCCCCACATCCCCCCCCCCCCCCCCCGACGAGCCGCCGCGCTCTCGAGCGTCCCCCTCCCACCCTCGTACCGCTCAGACGCGCGCCTCCACCGATCAGCGTCAGCGCCACTGTACCTTGCTCTGGCGCTTCCTGGCCTCCTCCAGCTGCTGCACGGTCTCGGCCTCCTCCGCCTCGCGCTTCTTGAGGTCGGCCATCTGGGTTTGGAGGGTGACCACCTGCTTCTCGAGCTGCAGCTTGGCCTCCTCCTCCTCCTCCAGCTGGTCCTGCAGCTGGCCGCGCTGCTCCTCGGCCGAGCGCAGCCGGGAGTTGAGCGCCAGCTTCTGGCGCGTCTCCTCCTCCAGCAGACCTGGCCCCGGCCAGCTCACGTCAGCGCGCGTCCTTTCAGAGACCATGGCGAACGGACAGAGAAAGCCAGGGTCTACGACGCCACGAAACGTGGGGCAACACAAGTTTCAAAATCTTCATGTCATGCGTCACTATTGACCAAAGTTACGGTACAACGTAATGTAGAAGTTTTTGCTGCATTAAAATTATAAATGGTAGGGTAAGTTACCACAGCAGTATTATTTGTCGTACTGTCACAGCGGGTGGATCTCACACGTCTTCTCCCCACTGTACGCCACGGTTCCGTGGCCGCCTGTCGCCCGGGGTTCGGCACATCCGCACCGCGGTACGGGACGCGCGGCATGGGACGCGCGTCCCAGCTGCTGTGTGCGGCTCGGCGCCCGGCGCCCCGCCAGCACACCATCGCAGGTGACGGAAGGCACCTCTGTCGGCCGAACGGCGCCAACAACGCCCGCCCCCGCGCGCGCCGCACCTTGCGCCTCGGCGAGGTTGGCCTCCAGCGTGGTGGAGGACTTGGCCGACTGGGTGGCCTTGGTCTCGATCTGCTCCAGTTGGGTGGCCAGCGACTCCACCTCACTCTGGGCGCGCACAACCCTGCCGGCGAGAGGGGCGACCGGTGGTTAGATATGAAAGGGGAAGCAACTGAGGGAGGCGAGAGGAGGGAGCAATAGCACAGAAGAGGCGGGGGCAGCACACGACGCGGATCTAGAGGAAACGCAAGCCGGAAGACAGAGACGGGGAGGGAGCGGCGAGACATGACACTGAAAACAATGGGGATATGGCAACGTCCAAATGGGCTCAGCACAGTGGAAAACTGGATAAATGCCACCACAAAGTTTTGTGTCCCACAACCAAATCTGCAGCTAATCCAAACACAGCAAATTATGAATGGTCTCAGCCCCAGCCCTGGCCTCAGCCTCAGCCTCAGCCTCAGCCACAGCCTCAGCCTCAGCCCCAGCCTCAGCCTCAGCCTCAGCCTCAGCCCCAGCCTCAGCCTCAGCCCCAGCCCCAGCCCCAGCCCCAGCCTCAGCCCCAGCCCAGCCCAGCCCCAGCCCCAGCCTCAGCCTCAGCCTCAGCCTCAGCCTCAGCCTCAGCCTCAGCCTCAGCCTCAGCCTCAGCCTCAGCCTCAGCCTCAGCCCCAGCCCCAGCCCCAGCCTCAGCCTCAGCCTCAGCCTCAGCCTCAGCCTCAGCCTCAGCCTCAGCCTCAGCCTCAGCCTCAGCCTCAGCCTCAGCCCCAGCACGCACTTCTCCTGGAACTCCTGGCGGGCGCGGTCCGACTCCTGCAGCTTGATGGTCAGCTCGCTCATCTGCGACTCCTGCTGCTTGCGCTTGCGCTCAGACTCGGTGCGGGACGTGGTGACCGCTGCCGGGGGAGGGCACGGCACGGGGATCAGCGACGGCCGCACCTCGGCCGCTATCAACTGCTGCCATCCGACGCAAATCCTCGCTCAAAATCCATGAAGAAAATCACGCCGCACCTTATCCACATTCGGCACCGTAATCAGCTGCGTGATTCAGCACTGTGATTCAGCCTGTTTTCAGCATCCGACACTGCGCTGCTGACTTCCCACAGATCTACCAGCAGCCAGTCAGCTGGCGGTCCCCCCGGGAAGCCCCAGCGCCCGTCCGCCAGCCGCCGCGGCCGCCGGTACAGACAGCACCGACCGAGGTGTCACTGCCCGCTCCACCATCGGCCTGACCACGCTCGAACACACGGCACTGCCCGGTCGCGCGGCGCCCGGTGTGCTCACCCTTGATGTCGTGCGCCAAGTCGGCGTTCTCCGCCTCCAGCTGCTGCTTGGTCTTCTCCAGCTGCTGCTTGGCCTTCTTCAGCGAGTCGATCTGCTCGTTCAGGTCCTCTATGACGCCGCTGTGTTTGTGGCGCACCTCCTGGATCACCTGCGGCCGGCCGGGAAGGGGGGAGGCGGGTCACCACTGGCCACTGGTTCCGACACGGCGCCGGCAGCCCGGCTGAGCGGGATGGTCGGCCGCCGCGCACGCAGCACAAACGGGCAGAATGACAGAGACTCGGAGCAGTCTACACCGAGCGCACGGCCCTTCCGTCGGCTCACGGCGCCGTTCGTCGGGTTTCTGTGACTGTTCCTTTTTGAGCACCATTTCATGTACCAAAACCGTCCGCCAACGAGCCACCCTGACTGACTGTAACTCGGCCGACGCCGGTCTCGACAGGTGCCGTTACGCCGGCCCGCCGCGCCGGCAGCCTCACCTGGTCGTGATGCTGCTGCTGCTCCTCCACGGCCTTCTGCATCTTGGTCAGCTCCTCCTCGCGCTTGGTGCGCAGCTCCTGCTGGGCGGCCGTCGTGTCCAGCGAGTCGAGCAGCTCGTTCTTGAGCGCCTCCAGCTCCTCATTAAGGTCGCGCTTTTGTTTCTCGGCCTTGTTGCGCGCGTCACGCTCCGACTCGAGGTCCTCTTGCAGCTGCGGGGCGGGGCGGGCTCAGTACGCTGGTATGACGGACTCGGGGCAAGCTGGGTGGTACGACGACAGCGTGTCGAGCCAGGGTGGGCATGAGCCGATCTAGCTTATCAACACAATGTTAACGAGACCTCTAGACACTCTGAGAAAAAGACAAAAATATTGTGACCGTACACGCCGCGTCAGAGACCAAGAGAGCATTTAAGCACATGACATGGAAGACAAACGAGGCACATTTTCACGCCAACGACAACGTCAAGCGTGTCAGCTGACGTATTTTGGTGTACCTTCCCTTCCCTGTCCCCTCACCACCCGCCGTCGGTCTGCCAGCCGCGGCGACCTTCGCCCGACAGAGCCGTACCTCCGTCAGCTGGCTCTCCACCCCTCCCTGTCCCCGCACCACCCGCCGTCGGTCTGCTAGCCGCGGCGACCTTCGCCCGAGAGAGCCGTACCTCCGTCAGCTGGCTCTCCACCTCCCTGAGGGCCTTCTGCGACTGCGCCTTGCCGGCCGCCTCCTCGTCCACCTTCATCATGGCCTGGGTCAGTTCCTCCTCGCGCTTGGCCAGCTGCAGCTGGAGGTCCTCCACTTGGGCCTTCTTCTCGGCCAGTTGTTCCTGCCACAGGCGGCCGGCGGCGGGTCAGCATCACAGTAGTGCGTCAAACGCGCAGAGAGCGCCGCCGGCGGCGACAGCACATCGACATCGGGTTTGAGGCCACGAGGCGGACACCAATCACGACGCATCTACGTCAGCAGCGTCCACAAAAGCACGCATAACGCATCGCATAGCCGCATAGCATGCTTGCAAATACCAAAAATACCAACCACGCCGTCGCATTTGGATCAGTGACGAAGAGACGGGCAGTAACAGGTGATCAAGATACAGTGGTCACAGCCGCGGCGTCATCTTAAAGGCAGCCCTGCATCGCTATCATCCCCTGATCCCCCACCAGCTGTGGTGCCACCTAGATCTCATTGTTTTCTGCTGACAACGTGCTGCCATGACACACGAATACGGGGCTGCAGAGCCACGGCTGGGTGGCGCGTCCGATACACACAGCCGGCTGCGCAGCACAACAGGATATCACGCTGGCGGGATACCTTCTAGCGTCGATCATTCATTCGGCTACCCCAGCTAACGCCCAACAACGCGTCAGGGATCATCGGGAGCGGGTCAAATCGACGCCAAACGGACACGCAGGAGGAGCTGCTACTCATCCAGTTCACCACAGGAGCTTCAGTTTATCGCATTCCGCCGCGCACCTGCGAAACAGCTGCCACTCTCTTGCTCCCCACCCTCCACCGCCGCCTGCCCCCGGCACCATCCCGCCCTCCCCGCCTGCAGCCCACCTTGAGGTCGTTGATCTCGGTCTCCATGCGGCGCTTGACACGCTCCAGCTCCTGCCGCAGCTGCTGCTCCTTGCGCAGGCGCTCCTCCAGGTCGGCGATGGTCGACTCGTGCTTGGCCTTCAGCTTGGTCAGGTGCTTGGATCGCTCCTCTTCCTCCACCAGCGTCTGGCCCAGGTCGGTGCCGCGCTCCTCCAGCATCTTGCGCTCCTTCTGCAGCTTCTGGTTGATGTCCTCCGACAGGGCCATCTCCTCCTCCAGCTTCTTGATGCGGGCGTCGCACTGCACCTGCGCGCCGAAACGGAGAGCCGGGGTGAAGGCGCGACGCGGTGACGAGGGAGGGAGGGGAGGGGGAAAGAAAGCAGAGGGGACATGCGTGCCTCGACGCCGACAGGCTACAGCGGCGCGGCAGACCGCCGCGTCCGCACGGTTCACAGGCGCTCGCTCCACACACGACAGGCTGCAGCCCACAGTGTCGAGATCCAAGCCAGCACCTGCGTAATTTCATGTAAACAGACCGAACTCGACCAAACGACGGAGCGACGAACGGAGGCGATTCGTGCTGGTGGGAGACAAAACATCAGCACGGCTGGACGCAGCAGGGCTCAGCTGGCGCGGGACAGAGCCAGACAGCGCCCGGCTCGGAGCCGAGTCCAGCTCAGGGCCCACCGCTCCGGCCCTTCAGGCGGCCAGCTCAGGGCCCACCGCTCCGGCCCTTCTGGGGGCCAGCTCAGAGCCCACCGCTCCGGCCCTTCAGGCGGCCAGCTCAGGGCCCACCGCTCCGGCCCTTCTGGCGGCCAGCTCAGGGCCCACCGCTCCGGCCCTTCTGGCGGCCAGCTCAGGGCCCACCGCTCCGGCCCTTCTGG